AAGAATAATTTTTAATTTAAAAGTTTATTCTATTTTAATATTTATTTAAAATTTAGACAAATTTATTTTAAAATTTTTAGCTTAATGAATAAATCATAAGAATTCAAAGTAATAAGCAAGTGTCGTAAATCAAAAAGATTAGTAGTCTTTCATTTCTAATGATAAATAACTGGTGAAAAAAGGATGAATAAATATAAAATGTTTGAATAATATTATATATTTTATTATTTAATATTTCGAAAAAGTGTTTTTAACCTAAAATATAAATAGATAGATAGATTTTATTATTGATTTTATATTTATAAATATCATTCATATTTTTGTAATTAAATAAAGTATTAAAAAAAATAAAAAAATTAAATTTACTTAAATAAATTAAATCCTCTTAAGCAAACCCTCTGGTTTCTCCAAAAACGATCAAATAATTTGAAATTTTTAATGTTATATTACATTTTATTAAATTATATAAATGCCAAACTTTTATATGCCAGTTATATTTTAATCTTAAATATTATCCATCAATCAATCATATTTCTATCCTTTTTTTATTTATCATGATTAATTAATTAGATACCATGATTTAAATAAAACCTCAGGGAGAAATCAAGTTTTACTTTTAATTTTAACTTTTATGGTTAATGAAAACCACCAAAAATTAGAAAAAATATTGAATATTATATTTGAAGGCTTTTTATACTATATATTTATATATTAAATACAATTTATGAATTTTATTGAATCTTGCCTTTACATACTTGTTCATAAATACTTTAATTTATTTTTTTTATTTTAAATTAAGCATAATCCAGGTATTAAAATATAATGCAATCCAGTTCATCATATTTTAATACCTGGATTAGCAATAAATAAAAAATATATTTCATAATAAGTCAGGCAAACCATGAAATTTTTGTATGGCATCTTGCTATAATTAGAGATATTACAAATTTTCCTAAAATTACAGAGCTAAAACAGAAAAATCTACTTATAAACATTATTTTTATAATATTTAAGAACATTAACTACTAGGTTTTTTTCAAATATGACTAAATAAATTACTGGTCATCTCTAATTCCTACTATTTATTTTTTTAAGTATATTTTTTAAATACGAATATTAATTTTAAATAGTGAATGTTAAATTAATTTTCTGTGATATCTATCTCTTCATAAAACCAAATATATAAATTAATATTTGATAATTAATTAATTATTATATTTATTTGTTCTTTTTAACCATTTATTATTATTAATTAATTAATTAATTAATTAATTTTCATAAATCGCTATTCAATATTTTTGAAAAAAAAAAAAAATGATATAATAGATTAAAGAATATTATAATTTGGAAGAAGTAATTATTAATTTTTTAATTAAAATCCTTTAAATTTATATAAATTAATAAAAAAAGTTTTAAAGCTCTTCACTTTTATCTCATTAGGTTCTCCATATTAATTTGAGGTATATTTAATTAAAAAAATAACTTTTATTATTATTAATATTTTATATTTATTTAAATAAATAATTTTTATGAAAGTAATTATTAAATTGGTGATGAAGGTGCATCAAGCTTAGGTTCTGCTTTAGCAAATTGCATTAATCTCTCAAATTTGGCACTTGTCCTTAGGTAAAAACATTTTATTAGTTTTGGATTGTGATATTTTTAATTAGAAAAACTAATAAAAAACAATAAAGCTCTTTTTTCTTTTTCTTTTTAATGTGCTTGCTTTTTTTTGTTATTTCTTTGTTAATTTAGCTCATTATTTTATTTTCAATTTTTGCTTTTATTATTTATTTCTTATTATTTCATATATTTTGTTCATTTTTTCCTTCTAATAAACTATTTAATGATATATTTTTTCTTTAATATTTAAAAAGGTATAATTCAATTGGTGCAATTGGTGCATCAGGCTTAGGTTCTGCTTTAGCAAATTGCATTAATCTCTCAAATTTGACACTTGACCTTTAGTAAAAACAGTTTATTTGTTTTGGATTGTGATATTTTTAATTATAAAAACTAATAAAAAACAATAAAGCTCTTTTTTCTTTTTCTTTTTATTGTGCTTGCTTTTTTTTGTTCTTTCTTTGTTAATTTAGCTCATCATTTTATTTTCAACTTTTGCTTTTATTATTTATTTCTTATTATTTCATATTTTTTCTTCATTTTTTCCTTCTAATTAACTAATTAATGATATATTTTTTCTTCAATATTTAAAAAGGCGTAATAGAATTGGTGCAATTGGTGCATCAGGCTTAGGTTCTGCTTTAGCAAATTGCATTAATCTCTCAAATTTGACACTTGACCTTAAGTAAAAACAGTTTATTTGTTTTGGATTGTGATATTTTTAATTATAAAAACAATAAAGCTCTTTTTTCTTTTTCTTTTTAATGTGCTTGCTTTTTTTTGTTATTTCTTTGTTAATTTAGCTCATTATTTTATTTTCAACTTTTGCTTTTATTATTTATTTCTTATTATTTCATATATTTTGTTCATTTTTTCCTTCTAATAAACTATTTAATGATATATTTTTTCTTTAATATTTAAAAAGGTATAATTCAATTGGTGCAATTGGTGCATCAGGCTTAGGTTCTGCTTTAGCAAATTGCATTAATCTCTCAAATTTGACACTTGACCTTTAGTAAAAACAGTTTATTTGTTTTGGATTGTGATATTTTTAATTATAAAAACTAATAAAAAACAATAAAGCTCTTTTTTCTTTTTCTTTTTATTGTGCTTGCTTTTTTTTGTTCTTTCTTTGTTAATTTAGCTCATCATTTTATTTTCAACTTTTGCTTTTATTGTTTATTTCTTATTATTTCATATTTTTTCTTCATTTTTTCCTTCTAATTAACTATTTAGTGATATATTTTTTCTTTAATATTTGAAAAGTGAAAATTAAATTGGTGATAGAATAGAATAGAAATACTCGCACATATAAATGCACTCAGAATAAATCTTAAAAAATATTAATTTATGTTAGTTATATATAATTTTATTTAAGAATTTTAAAAATAGTTTTATTTATTTTATTAATTTTTCTTTTAACCTCTCATACTTAGAAGTGCACTTTTAATTTCTTTTATAAACCCTGTTTTAGCTTTCGACTCAGAATTAGATTTCTTGGGTTTAGCTGGTCTCGAACATTGAGAAAGTTTTTTTAAATTGGTGATGAAGGTGCATCAGGCTTAGGTTCTGCTTTAGCAAATTGCATTAATCTCTCAAATTTGACACTTGACCTTAAGTAAAAACAGTTTATTTGTTTTGGATTGTGATATTTTTAATTATAAAAACAATAAAGCTCTTTTTTCTTTTTCTTTTTAATGTGCTTGCTTTTTTTTGTTATTTCTTTGTTAATTTAGCTCATTATTTTATTTTCAACTTTTGCTTTTATTATTTATTTCTTATTATTTCATATTTTTTCTTCATTTTTTCCTTCTAATTAACTATTTAATGATATATTTTTTCTTTAATATTTAAAAAGGTATAATTCAATTGGTGCAATTGGTGCATCAGGCTTAGGTTCTGCTTTAGCAAATTGTATTAATCTCTCAAATTTGACACTTTACCTTTAGTAAAAACAGTTTATTTGTTTTGGATTGTGATATTTTTAATTATAAAAACTAATAAAAAGCAATAAAGCTCTTTTTCTTTTTCTTTTTATTGTGCTTGCTTTTTTTTTGTTCTTTTTTTGTTAATTTAGCTCATTATTTTATTTTCAACTTTTGCTTTTATTGTTTATTTCTTATTATTTCATATTTTTTCATCATTTTTTCCTTCTAATTAACTATTTAATGATATATTTTTTCTTTAATATTTGAAAAGTGAAAATTAAGTTGGTGATGAAGGTGCATCAGGCTTAGGTTCTGCTTTAGCAAATTGTATTAATCTCTCAAATTTGACACTTTACCTTAAGTAAAAACAGTTTATTTGTTTTGGATTGTGATATTTTTAATTATAAAAACTAATAAAAAACAATAAAGCTCTTTTTTCTTTTTCTTTTTCTTTTTATTGTGCTTGCTTTTTTTTGTTCTTTCTTTGTTAATTTAGCTCATTATTTTATTTTCAACTTTTGCTTTTATTATTTATTTCTTATTATTTCATATTTTTTCTTCATTTTTTCCTTCTAATTAACTATTTAATGATATATTTTTTCTTCAATATTTAAAAAGGCGTAATAGAATTGGTGATAAAGGTGCATCAGGCTTAGGTTCTGCTTTAGCAAATTGCATTAATCTCTCAAATTTAACACTTAAATTTTTGTAAAAACAGTTTATTTGTTTTGGATTGTGATATTTTTAATTATAAAAACTAATAAAAAACAATAAAGCTTTTTTTTTCTTTTTCTTTTTCTTTTTATTGTGCTTGCTTTTTTTTGTTCTTTCTTTGTTAATTTAGCTCATTATTTTATTTTCAACTTTTGCTTTTATTATTTATTTCTTATTAATTCATATTTTTTCTTCATTTTTTCCTTCTAATTAACTATTTAATGATATATTTTTTCTTTAATATTTGAAAAGTGGAAATTAAATTTGTGCAATTGGTGCATCAGGCTTAGGTTCTGCTTTAGCAAATTGTATTAATCTCTCAAATTTGACACTTGACCTTAAGTAAAAACAGTTTATTTGTTTTGGATTGTGATATTTTTAATTATAAAAACTAATAAAAAACAATAAAGCTCTTTTTTCTTTTTCTTTTTCTTTTTATTGTGCTTGCTTTTTTTTGTTCTTTCTTTGTTAATTTAGCTCATTATTTTATTTTCAACTTTTGCTTTTATTATTTATTTCTTATTATTTCATATTTTTTCTTCATTTTTTCCTTCTAATTAACTATTTAGTGATATATTTTACTTTAATATTTAAAAAGTTACAATAGAATTGGTGATAAAGGTGCATCAGGCTTAGGTTCTGCTTTAGCAAATTGCATTAATCTCTCAAATTTGACACTTGACCTTAAGTAAAAACAGTTTATTTGTTTTGGATTGTGATATTTTTAATTATAAAAACTAATAAAAAACAATAAAGCTCTTTTTTCTTTTTCTTTTTATTGTGCTTGCTTTTTTTTGTTCTTTCTTTGTTAATTTAGCTCATCATTTTATTTTCAACTTTTGCTTTTATTATTTATTTCTTATTATTTCATATTTTTTCTTCATTTTTCCCTTCTAATATGGTATTTTAAACTATAAAAATGAATATAACACAAAAAAGCTCTTTGAATATATTTGATAGCTTTATTTATTTTATTTTTTTATCTTTTTTATTCCACTCAAATTATTTTATGTATTAATTTAAAGAATAATTTTTAATTTAAAAATTTATTCTATTTTGATATTTATTTTAAAATTTACACAAATTTATTATAAAATGTTTAGCTCAATGAATGATTCATTAGAACTCAAGGTAAAAAGCAAGTATCTTAAATCAAAAAGATTAGTTGTCATTGATTTCATATGATAAACAAATGGCGAAAAAAGGATAAATAAAAATAAAATGTTTGAATTGTATTTTATATTTTATTATATAATATTTGAAAAAGTGTTTTTAACCTAAAATATAAATAGATAGATAGATTTTATTATTGATTTTATATTATTAAATATCATTCATATTTTTGTAAGTAAATAAATTATTTATAAAAAAAAAAATTAAATTTACTTAAATAAATTAAATCCTCATAAGCAAACTCTCTGGTTTCTCCAAAAATGATCAAATAATTTGAAACTTTTATTGTTATATTAAATCTTATTAAATTATATAAATGCCAAACTTTTTAGTTATATTTTAATCTTAAACATTATCCATCAATCATATTTCTATCCTTTTTTTATTTATCATGATTAATTAGATACTATGATTTAAATAAAACCTTAGGGAGAAATAAATTTTACTTTTTATTTATTTTTTTTTATTTTCTCAAATTTTAAATTTATCTTATGATCATTTTTTTCATTTTATATTTTTTAAAATTATAAAATAATTGTTTTTTTAAATTATCATTTATTCATTCATACAATACAAATTTGATTTTTTTATATTAGAATATTTAGAGTAAATTAAGGAATTTAAAAGTCGTTAATGCTGAATTTGGCTTTTTATAAGCTTATTTTATATCAAGAATTTATGTAATATTTTTTAATCTGATATTATAAATTTTATTATGTTTATCTTGTTTATTTTTTATTATAAAATGTTCTCTAAATATTCTAGAAAAATGCAAATCGGAGGTTTGCAGGTTTTGCTTTATTTATGGGTACTTTTGAAATAAATATGAATGTATTAGCAAAAAAATGCAAGATGTGAAAATGGATGCTGAAAATGATCTTTGTTTTTGGAGTCAATCATTAATTTTTTTTTTTTTGATATTTTAAATTTAGTTTAGTCGCTTTATAAAAGAATTTCCATTTTTTTTTATGTATTTATTTATTTACTTATATTGAATAAAAGATTTTAATCAAATAAAAAAAAAACAAAAAATAATAAATTAATTTAAAATTTTAATTTTATAAAATGTAAAAACACACACAAATCGTTTTTTGTAAATTTATATGGTAACTTACTCTAGGATAAAATGAGTGTAAAAATAATTAAAAAAAAAATAATTGTCTAAAATTAGAGTAAACATTCACAATAAATGTAATAAAATATAAAATTTAGCTACATAATTAAATACTTTATTTTGGGATACAAATATGTAAAATATGTAAAGAAAATATTTCAAGTTTGATTATTTATGACAATTTCATTTAGTTGTAAAAAAGTTTTACTCATCAATATTTTTACTATTTGATTTATTGAAAATACTTTTTATTTGGCTTTTCTTAATACTATCTTCTTCTTCTAACACTTCATCACTTTTAGATTTATAGGTTGATAGGAAACCCAATAGGAAGTTACTTTTATTGAATTAACTAAATTTTTAATGTTTTGGTGTATCTATAATTTGCTAAGTGTCAATTTATAGTGTTTCTGTTATAAGCTTATTTGAAAATTGCTGATTGGGATTTGGGAGAATCTAAATATCAAATTATCTTAAAAGATAGCCATTTAAGTCATATATTTTAATCCTATACTATCCCACACTTTTTTAGTCTGGCTTGCCTTTAATTTAAATATATGATTTCTAAAAATTAATTTACATCCATTCAGGTAGTCTTTCGTTTTCAGATAGTCCTTTCTCAACTTAATCTATTCCAAGAAGTTCTTATGCCTTTACACAGCAACGGCATAAAGTACCTTTTTCATAGAATTTTATAGCACGTATTAGATAAGAGTTGCAGTGAAAGGAATCGCCATATGAGACTTAAAAGAATTATCTTTTCTTAATTGTAATCCCAAGTGCGATAGCAAATAAATGCTATTCAATAAGAGGTAGATAAATAGATAAATCTTATATACTTAATTCATTATTTAATTGCTCTTGATTATTCTTTCTATTGTTTTATGCATTAGTCTTTTTTTTCATGTCTTCTGTTATCTCTTTAAATGCGAGCTTTATGCATTCATACTTTAATTGATATTAAGCTTAGTAATCCTCTTAATCTTACTAGACCTATTTAAAACCTACATATGCTCTGTACCAATCTATTTATTTGTATAAGAGAAGGGCCTTTTCTTAAAGTAAGGTAATAATTCTCTTTACAATTGGGTAATTTTCAACATAATATTCAGTTGCAAGTCCTTTAATCATAGTAGAAAGCAAAGAATTATGATTTTCTAGTTCTTTTTACAATTAATTTGTTAGTATTTTTCTTGAAGGGTTGACAGTTTGCTATTGCAAAATTATTAATTCTTTAATATATTTAAAATTTATTTATCCAGAGTTTTCAAAAAGTTACAAATTCTCAGTTAACGATTTGTTATTTGCATTTAAGTAACTCTTTTGCATGCTTTTACTATTTAAATCTTTGCATAAATTTTAAGCAAGTTTCTCCTGAAAATTTTTATTTTGTATAGATTGAGCCCTTAATCTAGATTACTATAAATTTCTTGGTGATTTATTCTGGCTGACATTTTTTTGAGAAGTTTGATGTTGTTTTATGTTATTTTCTTAAGAAAATACAGAGAGCTGTAAATCTCCTAATTTAGTTAAATTTTGATTATTTTATGGGGATAAATTTTATTCATAAACCTCATCATCATCTGATAGAACGCCTTATGGATAAAATGATTTTTGCATCTCTTCTTATAAAGAAGTCTCTGCCTTCAAATTAATTTGTTCGTTAAATTTATTGATTTGGAATATTGATGAATTTTATTTGTTGAAGAGATAATTTATTTATTACTAAATCTACTTTGGTTTTATCTGATTTTAAATTTCTTTCCATAATTGAATTGCAGTATTTAAAGTGTTTCCACTTATAAATATCTTTTTTTCATAATTTTCTTACTAATATGCTACTTCCTTTGTATATGTCAAGAAGTATCTAAATACTAGGTTGTAAAATATTGTTCTATATTTCCAAATTCCTAAAATTCCTAGCACAGGTCCAAGGATTTAAATAATAATTTAAATCACCAAATAAAACGGGATAATAGTAATATTCATTGTAAATTCATCTTATGCAACAGTATATCCATCTGTTGCTTCTATTAAAATAGTCTCACTCTAATAAAATAAGTTTGTTGAGGGAGTTCCTACAAGAGTTCTTTCATTTTATTAGAAAGAGAGCCAGTAGCCTGTTGGAATATTTTAATATTATCCATCACCATTTTTTATCTTTGCAGTGTAGGTTAGTTGAGGAGAGTCTAGACATTAGAAAACTTGATCACTAATTCTATAGCTTAATGGAGTTTAAACTGCTATTTAGCCTTTTGGAAACTAATTATTAAAATCATTTTATAGACTGTTTTTAAGTAAAACTTAAGATTGTAAAGAAATAAATTTAGATTTTTGTAATGAAAGAGTTTAAACATAATTGTAGTTAATTTGATCATTCACAATTATTTAAATCTCAGTTTAGTTTACATTTTGTGTATTGTTTAAAGATAATTTTATTGTTTGTTGCAAAGCTTGGTTAATATTAATCACAGAGCCTTGAAGCTGTATAGTATTTTATTCAGAATTAATGAGAACAAGTATTCCTGAATAAAGTTTATTAACAAACATTCCTTATGATGTGTTTATTGTTACAATTATAGAATTCTGATTTGAAGATATTGGGCTCACAGAATTAGATAAATCTACTATGAGGGAAGTTTGTGTATAAAATTAAATTGTATAGTTAATTATATTTTGATTTAAAGTTATTTGTATAAAACTTAAAACCTAACTTAATTAACCTGGCGTTTAATTCCACTTCTAAAGCACATTAAGAGAATTACTATCTAAGAATTAAAATGCATTTTAAGGGGAATATTAAGCAGATACAAAGCCGGCTGAATCTAAATATCCAACGTTAATGCATATTTATTTAATGTTCACAGAATCTTGTTCACTTATGTTAAGTAATTAGTTAGCAAAGGCGAAATCGTCTAACTGTTAGTAGCATAAAAACACTACCTGTTGAAGAGATTTGCTTTAATACATTCCATCGCTGTCTGCCACCAAAGATTCATTCGATGTTTATATACTTAAAACTTAATTTTATGAAGAAAACTATATCCAACTTGGTAATTCAAGTAAAGCATTGTTAAAATAATATTAAGCTTTCCTAATTTAAATACTTTTAGATTAGTAAATATTAACTAAATAAATCTAAATATAATCTCCTACTTAAAAAGATCTATTACTTGGTATTAATTCTTTTTAGTATAAATTTGAATTTGAAATTTATTGCAGTTTATAAATAGAGGAGTGGAAAATTATTGGACTTTAGAGAAAGCATTAGTATATTGCGAGCTATGATAAAGCAAATATATATGAGTAATCAGGAGCAGCAACCATCCAACAAGTAGGATCATTATCAGGAAGGGAAAGAATTTGCAATATTACTGGATTAGATTTATCAACTATACTCACTAAAATTAATGAATCTATCTCTTCAGTTGAAATTATTAGGTAGTTATCGTTATTTATAAGTATTGCCTATCCAGCAACACCTCTAGTTGAAAAGTTTGAAACAAATGTGACACTTCTATCAGAATTAAAGCTATAAATAAAGACACCTTTAAAACTAACACACAAAATAATATATTTTCCATCTGAAGACATTCTATTATAATTTATTAATATTTTAGTAAGAGAAAATAGGAAAATTGCTTTTACTAAAATTAAATATATAAGTGCTTGAATTAATTTACATTTATCTTTTACACCATTAAAATCTGAAATACAATTACTTAAAATAGAGTGGGTAAGATTTAAAATTAATCTTCTTAATTGCCAGTATGATTAAAGTAAAGATAAAGTAGAATTATCAAAAAGTTATTTTTATATTTTTTTAATGGCGATTAATGAGAATAAAACATTTTAATGAAGGGGGGAAAAAAAAATTTAATTTTATTTAATTTGCTATAGTTTAACGAAAAAAAATGATTTAAAAATTAAAAATAAATTGAAAAAGTAATTTTTTTCTCAATTTAAATATGCTTAAAGATAAAGAGGGAGTGAATTAATGAATAAATGAAGAATTATCATTGTGTACCAAAGAGGGGGAAATTTTTCCTGCTCAAGTTAATTATCATGTATTATTAAAATTGCTATAAACTAAAAAAAAATGAATGTACGTAAATGAATATGTAATTCCAAGATTTAGCTTGAAAAACAAATAAGGATTAGATGGGTCTTAGATGTCTGCAAAAGCAATACCATAGGATTCAGGATTTAACAATAAAGTTTTTTCATCATTAGATACCGCAAGAGTGTAAAGGCTTGAATCACCTTCTAAGTAGACTTAAGTATCTATTACAGAAATAACTTTAGGATTCAAAGGGTCACTTGTGTCGATAATAATTACATTTATTACATTAGCAACAAAACCTAAATTTCCTTTTTAATTGAAAGCTATTTGCTCAAACCTGTAATTAGATTAGCCAAGAGTAATGCCTGTCTTTACTATCTTTGGCGCATTTATATCTTAGCAATCAACTATTTAGAAACCTTGCGATTCTAAGCTTTGATAGAATATAGTAGTATTTGGAACTCTAGTTTAAAAGGAAACAGAAATGTTTGGATCATTACTGTTTAACTATGATTCTAATTATAGAATTCCATTACCTTTATATTCGAAAAATGTGCTTCCATAACTGTACCTTGAAACATATAAAATATTTTCAGGTGTCTAAAAATACATTTAGTTATCAAAACTACCACCAGGAGGCTTAAAGAATGAATTACTGACAAGCTAATAGTTATTGAGTAGGAGGTTAGGCACATCTAAATTTAAGTTTGGAGTAGTTTTTTAAAAAATTTGAACATTGAACCAGTTCGAATAAAATATGTAATTTCCATCATCACTTAGCTTTAAATCTGCACAAGTTCCGCCAGTCTAAATCACTTAAAAGGGCTCTAACATTTTTTATCTGATATCAAATACTACAACTCCTATCGAACTCAATTAAGTATACAAGAAATTCTAATCAAGTGAAAGAACAAATTTATTTCCTAATGGACTAGAAGGATAGGTATCTAGTAGAGCTATTTTACTTGGATCACATGTAACTCCATTATAAGATTTAATATAATCTTAAATATCTACCATCATGTATTAGATATATTATATTTAGATTACAAGTATGCTTTCTTGAATTACCTTAAAAGAACTAATAGTAGAACCTTGACCTGGTGAGTATGAGCAAATATTATTTAACTTACCTTTCTATAAATCTTCAATACTTTGTTAGTAGAAGTTTATTAAGCTATAACTTTAAACACAAAGTATTGAATTCTAAAATGCAAATTAAATATCAAATATGTTAAAATCGTCTATTTCAACTGTTTAGATAACACTAATATTGCTATTTGTCAATGTAATCAGCTTGAAGTTATTGATGCATGCTAAGAAAGTTAAATTAAATTGTTAAAATTAAATTACTTAAATAACATAGTCTTATTCATCTTTAAATGTAATATTTTGTGTTTAAAATAATGGAAATTGAGATTAAGATAAATCTAAGATATCAAGAAACCCAGAATTATAGCTAACCCAAAGATATTTATTTGAGTCTGTTATACTAAGTGAGAGAACTTATCCTTTTTTTAGGGAGTAAGGGTAGAGATTTAAAAGTTAAATGCCTTCTTAAACATTTGTCACATCATAAATTCCAAAACCGCATTTCTACAAGTTGACAGCAAGCAAGTTTCTTTAGCTGTTACTAAAAATAGTCATTATATCAGATGAGCCATTCTTACAGGGAATAGTTGGATCAATCACAGCTTTTGGAAAAGGTTCAAACACAGGGAGAGAGTTATCGTAAAGGCGAGAATCGTAGCAAAGTAGGAATTCAATTAAAAAATTGAAAAATATTAAAAGCTAAAAGAAATTCATATACTAATATAAAAGCAAAGGCTTTCTAATTTTTAATCAACCAGAAAAACTTACTTGATCAAATATGTTTGTTTTTTTCACTTTTTTGTTTCTCACTAATCTATTTTCTTTTTCTTCTTATATAAATTATTAAATAAACAATTATAAAATATGTAAATAAATATAATATATAAAATATGAACTAACCTAACCTAACTCAACTTAACTATGTTTTTTTTAATTTATCAATTTATTATTTTTAAAATTTACCTTAGTAAAAAGAAAAAAGGTTATTTTAATCAAACACATCTTAAATATATATATATTCAAAAGGTTTAATTTCTAGGAGTTTTCTTCAATTACTATGCTAATTAGTAATCATTTGAAGGAAGATGTTGATTTCAAGCTTTTATATAAGCTCAAAGAATTTTCTTTTGAAATCTAAAAATAGATAAAATTTATTTATTTTTCATTTAAAATTTATGGTTTGAAAATTAACTTTTTGTTTTTACTGTTAGATTTAATATTAAAAATTTAATTTTTATTTTGTCAGATTGTTGTTAAGAATTCATACAGTTGCCATAAAGTCAAATAACAAACATGAATTTATAAAATTTATAAACTTCAAATTATATTTATTCATGCACTTCTAGCAAGAATAACGAGTCTAAAATTTTTTTTGTTAACGTTTTTAACACATATTTTCATCTGTTCTGTATTATTTTAATTTAATATGATCATCTAATTCTAAAACTTAATCTCTAGGAATATGAATTGTTTATGAGTTTCATTATGAATTTAAATTTTTATATAATTTTTCTGCGTTTATGTTAAATTTACTAAAAAAAATCTGTTTTCTAGGACTTTCATTGGTTGTGTATTGTTATTACTTTAATTATCAATCTTTTAACGATATCGTTTTGTTGATGGTAACACTTAGACATCAAGTATCTCAAAAGATAACCATCAAGATCTTATATTTTAAATCTATATTAACCAATATGTTTTTAATCAAAAGTTACTTTAAAAATAATTTCACTTTTCTAAGAATCTATTTACTTCCATTTAGGTAGTCTCTATTACCGGTAAGCCCTCTTAGTTAAGAACTAAAATCTTTTGGGTACCAACACAGCAATTATTGATAACGATTTTCTCAAAGCTTTCATTCAACTAATCTATAATGAATAACAAATGAAACAATATCATTTAGCTCCTTCAAAAAATTTTCTCTTTTTACTGGAGAATCCAAGAGCAACAGTAAATAGATATTATTCTATATAAGAGATCAATAGATGAATACTTCTTTTAAATATATATTTACTTATTCATTTTATTATTGACTTTATTAATTTTTTATTTACTTTATTTTACTCATTTATCATATCTTAATTTCTTAAAAATCTAGTTTAAGACAATCTTCATCAAGCTTGTGTGTGGGAAAATATGTATCTAAAACCTTCTCTTTTGTTTAAACGCTTAATCTGGCAACAGATAGGAGAGCATTCTATTAAATACTTGGCCGCTAAATATTACAAGATAATAGAAATTCTTGATTTATTATCATTTAATTGTTTAAGAATATTTTTGCTGATAATCTTATCCTTCTATTAAGTTCTATTCTTGTGCTTCTAGATTGCTAAGATTCTGATATGCTAATAATCTATTTGGCTGCTTTTTAAAAATAATAGCTAATTTTTATTTTATTTGGGGGTTGATTATGGTCTCATTCTTTCATTAAATGTAATTTATCTTATTAAGTTAAAAGTGAAATTAACTTAATAAGATTGATTTTTCTTATTTGAAGTAGGCGATTGGTTTATTTCATAAGTGCTATTACTAAGGCTTTTATTTTGTTTTGAAATTATAGAATTCTTTAACGAATATTACTTTTTCATATTGCTTTTACCCTCATTTTAATAATCTATTTAATCATCAAGATAATAAATTTGATTTTGATGGTTAACTGATTTTTAATGCTCCTCAAAAAATGTAATATTAGAATCACTTTTCTTTAAGAAATAACTATAAAATTTTCATGATACAAAATCATTAATTTTATTTAGCTAAAATACATGACTCATTTCAGATTGAGCATACTTCTATTAGAATTTACTTTAAGCAGGTTGCTGTCATAGTTAAACAGAAGTATCAAGTAAATTAATAATTAATATTTTTGTTTTCATAATACTCAGTTAGGTATACAATTTCCTTTGAGTATATTAAGAAATGTCTAAATGCAATATTGTAAAATAATATAGTCCTATATTTCCATTAACCTAAAATTCCTAAAAGGAGGCCAAGAATGAATATAATTATTTAAAGTACTAGGAAAAAAGGGACTATTGAAAACTAAATTAGTGATTAGTCATATATTATGGTGTAATCATCTGTAGCCTTTTTTTGAATTACAAATTATTGATTAAATATACTAGTAGATGAAGTTCCTACTAAAATTTTTCCTTACAAGAAAAAGTTAACCAATAATCAGGAGGAAGTTCTTCAAATTATCCATTTTTTTTATAATATTTTTGCAGTAAATTAAAGCGAATTGAATCTGCACATTTAAATAGATTGGAGCTTATTTCATAATTAAAAAGAGTTTGAACAGCAAGCTATCAATTTTTTTAATACTAATTAAATTCTTATTGAAGAGTATTAGCTACTAAAATAGGAGACAGACTGTAAAGAGATAAAAATAGTTTCTTTTAATAGGTGGGCTTAATTAATGTTTTACTTCATTTTATAGCAGTCACTTCTACTTTACTAGGCATAAATAGAGATTCATTTATTTGGAGAGTTTTATTGTATTCTATAACACTGAGTTTATACTAGAAACAGAACCTTGCAATTACATAATATTCTACTCAGAATTTATAAGTACTAAAATACCTCTACATTTAATTTATTTACAAACAATCCATAAGATACTTGAAGATTCACAATTAGTTAAAATTAGTTAGATGAAATAGGGTTAGCTGAATAGGGAAAATCAACTATTAATGAAGGCTGAATGTAAAACTGTACTTCATAATTTTTTATATTTTAGTTTTCAGTGAACTAAATAAAAATAATTAGTTTCTAGTACTAATCATTTATATATATTTAATTTCACTTTTTCAAAATTTATAAGGACTAGTTATCTAACAGATTAAACTCATTTTGAGGGAAAGATTTAGTTGAAACAAAATCAGATTTTTCTAAATATCTTGTTCTCATGCACGCCTATTAGAAATTTATGGAGTCAGCATAAGTAATATTTAAATTTGATTTAGTAAATGCATCATCACCTATTCCATAATAGCTCAAAATTATGACTTATTAAAGAGTTTTAGATAGATATTACCAATTGTCGTCTACTATTCAAGATTCTTTCGAGGCTTAGATACTTAAAACTAAATTTGAAGGAGAATATTCCATCCAACTTGGCAAATTTTAAATTATAAAATTTTAATAGTAGAAAGCACTTATATACTCAAACCTTTTGTCATATAAATATTAATTAAATAAATTAAAATTTTTCACCTACTTGGAAAGTTGGAAAGGTTACCCTGTTTGAAGCAATTAACGAAGGTATTAATTAGAGTTGGGGATTGATACTAGCCTATAGATTTAAGAATGAATTATAATTTAATTCTAAGTAAAATATTTGTATTAAGCTTTTTATGCGTATACAAATAAAACGATTAGTCTTGATATCGAAGTAGCCAATATATTGAATTATTAAGTAATAAAGGAATAATTTAAATTATTTCTGGATTCTTTTTATCTACCAAGCCAACTAAAATAATGGAATCAATTTCTGTTGTTGTGATTATTAAATAAATAGTCTTAGTTACTAAAAGCAAATAACACCTTATATTCGAACTCAAGAAAGTAAATTTAAGCTACTACATTTATTTACTATTTCATAGATAAAAACTCCTTGATATCCAACACCGCAGACAAGATATTAACTATCCTGAGTTTTTCTATCTTATAAGATTATTCAGAGTATTTTAAAATAAATTTATTTATATTATATTTAAAACTAATTTTCATAAAAATAGATTAATTTTTTAAACAATGAAGTAACATCAAAAAAATATTAAGAAATTTCAAATAAAATACCAAATAATTACTAAGAATTAAAAATTTAAAAAATGAATAAAATTGATTATATATATATATATAGCTAAATGCCTAATTAAAATCTAGTGGTTTGGGTATTAATTAGTTTAAAATTAAATAAAAATTTAAATTAGAGGACATATTAATTTATAAACCCTAGTAATAAGGTATTAAATACTAAAGCTTGTCTACATATTTTTATTTTGTGATACACATATATAAAAGATATATAAAAAAAAAATACTAAAATTTATAATTATTTCATTAATTTGTAAAAAAGTTTTATTCATCAATATTTTTACTATTTGATTTATTCATAATGTTTTTTATTTTGCTTGTTTTAATATTATCTGCTTCTTCTTCTAACACTTCATCACTTTTAGTTTTATGGGTTTATATGGCACTTAATATGAAGTTACTTCTATTGAATTAAGTAAATTTTTAATTTTTTGGTGTATCTATTATATATTGCTAAGATTCTATTTCTGGTGATTTCGTTATTAGCCTATTTGTTAATTGCTGGTTTGGGAGAATTTAAATATCAAATTACCTTAATAGATAGCCATTTAAGTCATATATTTTAATCCTATACTATCCCACACTTTTTTAGTCTGGTTTACCTTTTATTTAAATATATGACTTCTAATAATTAATTTACATCCATTCAGGTAGTTTTTCATTTTCAGAGAGCCCTTTTTCTACTTAGTCTATTCCAAGAAATTATTATGCCTTTACGCAGAAGCGGCACAAAATACCTTTTTCATAGAACTTTATAGCACGTATTTGGTAAGAATTGCAGTGAAAGGAATCGCCATAAGATACTTAAAAGAACTTTCTTTTCTAAATTGTAACCCCTAGTGCGATAGCAAATAAATGCTATTCAATAAGAGGTAAATAAATAGATAAATCAAATGTACTTAATCCAATCTTTAGTAGTTCTTAATTATTATTTCTTTGGTTTTAAGGATGAGTTTCTTTTTTCATATCTTCTGTTATCTCTTTAAATGCAAGCTTTATGCATTTATACTTTAATTGATATTAAGCTTAGTAATCCTCTTAGTCTTACTAAGCCTATTTAAAACCTACATATGCTCTATACCAATCTATTTTTTTGAATAAGAGAAGGGCCTTTTCTTAAAGTAAGATTACAATTCTCTTTACTATTGGGTAATTTTCAACAAAATATTCAGCTGCAAGTCCTTTAATCATAGTCGAAAGCAAAGAATTATGATTTTCTAGTTCTTTTTACAATTCTTTTGTTAGTATTTTTCTTGCAGGATTCGCAGTTTACTATTGCTAAATTATTAACTCTTAAATATATTTAAAATTTATTTAGCCAGAACTTTCAAAAAGTGAAAAATTTAGATTTAGCGAATTTTGATTTTGATTTAATTAACTTTATTATATGCTTTTACTATTTAGAATTTTGCATAAATTTTAGGTGATCTTTTACTGATAGTTTTTATTTTACACAGATTGTGCCCTTAATCTAGATTACTTAAGATTTCTCGGTGATCTATTCTAGCTTTAATTTTTATTGGATGTTTGTTTGATGATATTTTCTTAAGAAAATACAGAGAGCTGTAAATCTCCTAACTTAGTTAAGTTTTCATCATTTTATGGGGATAAAATTTATTCATAACCCTCATCATCTGCTTATAGAATACCTAATGGATAAATTGATTTTTTCATCTCTTCTTATAAAGAATTATCTGCCTTTTAATTAACTTATTCGTTAAATATATTAATTTGAAGCAATGATATATTTTATTTGTTAAAGACTTAATTTATTTATTACTATATGTACTTTGGTTTTATCTGATTTTAAATTTCTTTCCATAATTAAATTGCAATATTTAAAGTGTTTCCACTTATAAATATCTTTTTTTCAAAATATTCCTATTAATATGCTACTTCCTTAGTGTATGTCAAGAAGTATCTAAATACTAGGTTGTAAAATACTGTTCTGTACTTCCAGATCCCTAAAATTCCTAATAGGGGCCCTAGGATTTAAATAATAATTTATATCACCAAATAAAATGGGATTATTGTAATGGTCATTGTAAATTCATCAGATGCAACTGAGTATCCATCTGTTGCTTCAATTAAAATAGTCTCGCTTTAATAAAATAAGTTTGTTGAGGGAGTTCCTACAAGAGTTCTTTCATTTGATTAAAAAGAGAGCCAGTAACCTGTTGGAATATTTTAATATTATCCATTACTCTGTTTTATCTTTGCAGTGTAGGTTAGTTGAGGAGAGTCTAGACATTAGAAAACTTGATCACTAACTCTATAACTTAATGGACTTTAAACAGCTATTTAACCTTATGGAAACTAATTATTAAAATCATTTTGTAGACTGTTTTGTAGTAAAACTAAAGACTGCAAAGAAATAAATTTAGATTTTTATAATGATAGATTTTAAACATAATTGTAGTTAATTTGATCATTCACGATTATTTCAATTTCAGTTTAGTTTACACTTTGTGTGTTACTTAACGACAATTTAATTGTTTACTCCAAAGCTTGATTAACATTAATCACAGAACCTTGAAGCTGTATAGTATTTTATTCAGAGTTAATGAGAACAAGTATTCCTGAATAAAGTTTATTAACAAACTTTCCTTATGATGTGTTTATTGTTACAATTATAGAATTCTGATTTGAAGATATTGGGCTCACAGAATTAGATAAATCTACTATGAGGGATGTTTGTGTATAAAATTAAATTGTATAGTTAATTATATTCTGATTTAAAGTTATTTATATAAAACTTAAAACCTAACTTAATTAGCCTGGTGTTTAGTTCCACTTCTAAAGCACGTTCAGAGAATTAGAGTCTAAGAATTAAAATGCATTTTAAGGGGAGTAATAAGCAGATACATAACCAGCCGAATCTAAATATCCAACATTTATACATATTTATTTAATTTTCACAGAATCATCTTAATTAATGTTAAGAAATTAGTTAACAAAGGCTGAGTCATCTAACTGTTAGTAGCATAAAAACACTACCTATTAAAGAGATTTACTTTAATACATTCCATTGCTATCTGCCACCAAAGATTCGTTGGACGTTTATATACTTAAAACTTAGTTTTATGGAGAAAACTATATCCAACTAGGTAATTCTAGTAAAACATTGTTAAAGTAATATTAAGCTTTTTTAATTTAAATACTTTTAGATTAGTAAATATTAACTAAATAAATTTGAATATAATCTCCCACTTAAAAAGTCATATTACTAGGTATTAATTATTTTTAGTATAAATTTGAATTTGATATTTTTTTCAGTTTATAAATAGAAGAGTGGAAAATTATTGGACTTTAGAGAAAGCATTAATACAATGCCAGCTAAGATAAAGCAAATATATAAGAGTAATCTGGTGCAGCAACCATCCAACAAGTAGGGTCATTATCAGGAAGGGAAAGAATTTGCAAAATTACTGGATTCGATTTGTCAACAACACTCACTAAAATTAATGAATCTATCTCTTCAGTCGAAACAATTAGGTAGTTATCTTTATTTAGTAGTATTGCCTAACCAGCAACTCCTCTAGTTGAAAATTTCGAAACAAATGTGATACTTCTATCAGAATTAAAGCTATAAATATAGACACCTTAAAAACTAACACTGAAAAAAATATATTTTCCATCTGATGATAATCTTTTGTATATATTTTTAATATTTTATTAAGAGAAAATAGTAAATTTCCTTTAATTAAAATTAAATATTTAAGTGCTTAAGTGAATTTAAATTAATATTTTTAATCCTTAAAATATTTAATAAAATTATTGAAATTTAAATTTGAGTAGGTACTTGATCAACAAAATATTTAATAAATAAAAAATAAATTAGAATTTTTAACAAAAATTTTGCAGTTTTATCAATTTAGCCCAAAACTCCCCCCACCCCCCACTTTTTTTTGAGATTAATTGTAAAACATTTTAAAAATTATAACTAATTAAAAAAAATGAGTGTACGTAAATGAATATGTAATTCCAAGATTTAGCTTGTAAAACAAGTAAGGGTTAGACGGATCTTAGATGTCTGCAAAAGCAATACCATAGCTTTAAGGATTCAATATTAAAGTTTTTTCATCTATAGAAAGTCCAAGAGTGTAAAGGCTTGAATCACCTTATAAGTAGACTGAAGTATTTATTACTGAAATTACTTTAGGATTCAATGGGTCACTTGTGTCGATAATAATTACATTCAATACATTAGCAACAAAACCTAAATTTCCTTTTTAATTGAAAGCTATTTGCTCAAACCTGTAATTAGATTAGCCAAGAGTAATGCCTGTCTTTACTATCTTCGGGGCATTTATATCTTTGCAATCCACTATTTAGAAACCTTATGACTCTAAACTTTGATAGAATATACTAGTATTTGGAACTCTAGTTTAAAAGGATACAGAAATGTTTGGATCATTACTGTTTAACTATGATTCTAATTACAGTATTCCATTTCCTTTATATTAGAAAAATGCACTTCCATAACTGTACCTTGAAACATACAAATTATTTTCAGGCGTCTAAAAATACATTTAGTTATCAAAACTACCACCAGGAGGCTTAAAGAATGAATTGCTAACAAGCTAATAGTTATTCAATAGGAGGTTAGGTACATCTAAGTTTAAGTTTGGAGTAGTTTTTAAAAAAATTTGTACATTGAACCAGTTAGAATAAAATATGTAATTTCCATCATCACTTAGCTTTAAATCTGCACAAGTTCCACCAGTCTAAATAATTTAAAAGGGCTCAAACATTTTTTATCTGATATCAAATACCACTACCCCTATCGAACTCAATTAAGTATACAAGAAATTCTAATCAATTGAAAGAGCAAATTTATTTCCTAATGGACTTGAAGGATATGTATCAAGTTGTACTATTTTACTTGGATCGCATGTAACTCCATCGTAAGAATTAATGTAACCTTAAATATCAACCATGATGTATTAGATATATTATATCTATATTACTAGTATATTTTCATGAATTACCTAGAATGAACTCAAAGTAGAACCTTGGCCTGGTGAGTATGAGCAAATATTATTGAATTTACCTTTCTTTAAATCTTCAATACTTTATTAGTAGAAGTTTATTAAGCTATAGCTTTGAACACAAAGAATTGTATTCTACAATGCAAATTAAATATCAAAGATGTTAAAATCATTTACTTCAACTGTTTAGATAATACTAATATTGTCATTAGTCAATGAAATCAGTTTGAAGTTATTAATGCATGTTAAAAATGTTAAGTTAAATTGTTAAAAATAAATAACATTCATAACATAGTCTTATTAATCTTTAAATGTAATATTCTGTGTTAAAACTATTGGAAATTATGATTAAGATACATCTTAGATATCAAGAAACCCTGAATTATAACTAACCCAAAGGTATTTATTTGAGTCTGTAATACTTAGAGAGAGAACTTACCCTTTTTTTGATGAGTAGGGGTAGAAATTTACAAGTTAAACACCTACTTAAACATTTGTCACATCATAGATTCCAAAGCCGCATTTCTGCATGCTGACGGCGAGTAAATTTCTTTAGCTGTTTCTAAAAGTAGTCATTACATCTGATGAGCCATTCTTACAAGGAATAGTTGGATCAATCACAGCTTTTGGAAATGGTTCAAACACTGGGAGTGATTTATCGTAAAGGCGAGAATCGTAGCAAAGTAGAAATTCAATTAAGCAATTTAAAAATATAAAAAGCTAAAAGAAATTCATATACTAATATCAATTAAATAAATACAAAGTCTATCTAATTATTAATCAGTCAAGAAATTTATTTAAATGAATTAAGATTATTTTTTTCACTTTTTTGTTTCTTACTTTCTTCCTGTATTTTCTTCTTTTTTTTAAAAAACTTTAAAATAAAAAATTATTAAATATAATGTATAAAATTTATGCTAAGCAAATTCAAAGGAGTTTTTTTCTTTTTAATACCTAAAAACCTCTTATTTTTGATAGTTATGTTATAAAAAAAGAAAAAAAGTTATCTTACTCAATCACATCTTATACATATATATATCAAATTTACTTATTAGTAATTTTTCTTAAATTATCAAGCTTATAAATAACAATTTTAAGACAGGTACTCATTTGTAATTTCTATTTCATCTAATTATTTTTCATTTTATGTAAATCTTATTTGAAAATAGCTAATAGTCAGTTTTTGTTGATTATTTGACATTAAAACGTTAAATTTTATTTTGTTAAATAATAATTAAGAATTTAAATTATTTTCATAAAATCAAACAACAAACATGAATTTATAAAACTAATAAAAAATTATATTTATTCATGAATTTTTAGCAAAGTTAAGAAGTCTAAAATTTTTTTCGTTAACATTTTTAACACTCTATTTCATCCTTTCTGTATTATTTTCATTTGAAGAATTTTCATCAAATTCTAAAACTTAATCAGAAGGAACACGTAAAATACATGAATTACACAATGAATTTAAATTTGTATTCAGTTTTTCTGTGTTAGTGTTAAATTTAATTTAAAAAATCTATTTTCTAGGACTATCATCGGTTGGATATTGTTATTATTATTGATTTTGTTATTAATCTATTTAAATTTATAGTTTTCTTGATGGCAAAACTTAGATGTCAAATAATCTCAAAAGATAACCATCTATATCATATATTTTAAGTGTATATTAACCAATATGCTTTTAATCAGGAGTTCCTTTTAAAATAATTTCAGTCTTCTTAAAATCAATTTACATCCATTCAGGTAGTCTCTAATTCTCCGATAAGCCCTTTTCAACTTAGTTAAGTCCTAAAATCTCTTAGGCACAAACACAGCAATGAAAAATAGCAGTTTTCTCATAGCATTTAATTGAACGAATTTAGAATGAATAACAATGGAAGCAATCTCCTTTAGTAACTTCAAAAAATTTTCTCTTTTTATTGGAGATCCCAAGGGCAACAGCAAATAGATATTATTCAATAAGAGGTAAATATACTAGTACTTCTTTTAAATATTTATTTTCCTATTTATTTTATTATTGGTTTTATTTATTTTTTATTTATTTCGTTTACATTTTCATTATTTCTTAAGATATTTCTTAAAATGCTAATTTTAGACAATCTTCATTGAGCTTGTATGTGGGAAAATGTGTATCTAAAACCTTTTCATTTACTTAAGTGCTTACATAAGCTCTGTACCAATCTATTTCTCTATATATTATGAGAGCTTTGTATTTCAATAAATTAATTATCTGACAACAGATAGGAGAGCACTCTACGAAATACTCAGCAGCTAGAAATCTCAAAATAGTAGAAATTCTTGATTTATTATCATTTAATTGTTTAAAAATATCTTTGTTAATAATCTTCTACTTCTTTTAAGTTGTATTATTATACTTTTAGATTGCTAAGCTTCTAATATACTCATAATTTATTTGGCCGTTTTTTAAAAATAACTATTAATTTTAGTTTTATTTGGGGGTTGATTATGCTCTCATCCTTTCATTAAATGTTATTTATCTCATTAAGCTAGAAGTAAATATATCTTACTAAGATTGATTTTTCTTATTTGAAGTAGGTGATTGGTTAATTTCATATTTGCTTTATCTAAGGCTTTTATTTTATTTTGAAATTATAGAAGAATCCTTCAAAGATTATTTCTTTTTCAAATTAATTTTATCCTCAATTTATAAATCTATTTGATCACCAAGGTCATCATATAAATTATTAAGATTAGCTGAATTTTAGAGGTACTAAGCAAATGTAATATTAAAATCATTTTTCTTAAAGATATTGCTATTGTTTTATGATACTAAATCATTAATTTTAGTTAGCTAAAATATATGACTCATTTCATATAAAACATACTTCTATTAAAGCTTACTTTAAACAGGCTGCCATAGTTAAAGAGATATTTCAAGCAAATCATCTGTAATTATTATTTTCTTTTCATAATATTCAGATACATGCACAATTTCCTTTGAGTATATTAAGAAATGTCTAAATATAATATTATACAATCTAGTCCTATACTTCCATATGCCTAATATACCTAAAAGAGGACCAAGAATTTACATGATTATTTAAAGTATTAGGTAAAAAGGGACTATTGAAATCTATATTATTAATTGGTCTTATGCTACTGTGTAATCATCTGTAGCCTATATTTAAATTACGAATTACTGATTAAATAAGTTATTAGATGGAATTCCTACTAAAGTTCTTTCATTAGAAGAAAAAGATAACCAATAGCCAGGAGGAATTTCTTCAAATTCGCCATTTTTTTGTAATATTTTTGCTGTGAATTTAAGTGAATTCGAATCTGCACATTAAAATACAGAGGTACTCATTTTATAATTAAAAGGAGTTTGGACAGCAAGCTATCCATTTGCGTAATACTAATTAAAATCCTATTGAAGAGAATTAGCTACTAAAACAGGAGATTGCAAAGAGATAAAAATGGCTTCTTTTAATGAAAGGGTTTAATCATATTTATAATTCATTTGATCATCTACAGTCACGTCTATTTTAGTAGAGGCAAGCAAAGTTTCATTTTTTAGAGAAATTTTTATTGTATTTTATAATACCTAGTTTATGCTAGGAACAGACCCTTGTAATTATATAATATTCTACTCGGAATTTATAAGTACTAAAACACCTGGATATAATTTATTTACAAACAATCCATTGGATACTTGAAGGGTAATAAATAGTTAACTTTAGTTAGATGAAATAGGGCTTGTTGAATTGGTGAAATCAACTACTAATGAAGGTTGAATGTAAAACTGAATTACATAGTTTATTATATTTTAGTTTAAGGTGTACTATATAAAATTAATTAGTTTCTCTTATTAATCTTAAGTTGAATTCCACTTTTTCAGAATTTATTAGGACTAATTATCTAACAGATTAAACTAATTTTGAGGTGAATATGTAGTTGATATAAAACCAGATTTGTCTAAATATCCTGCTCTCATACAAGCTTATTTGATATTTATGGAGTCAGTATCGCTAATATTTAAATTTGGATTAGTAAAAGCATCATCACCTATACCTTAATAGCTTAAAAATATGACTTATTAAAGAGTTTTAGATAGATATTACCCATTCCCATCTGCTATCAAAGATTCCTTTGAGGTTTAGATACTCAAAACTTAATCTGAAGGAGAATATTGCATCCAACTTGGTAAACTTTAAATCACAAAATTTTAATAGTAGAAAGCCTGTTAAATTCTAACATCTTTGGTCTAATAAATGTTAACTAAATAAATCTGAATTTTATCACCTACTTGGAATGGTTACCCTTTTTGAAGCAATTAACGAAGATATTAATTAGAGTTTGGGATTGAAACTAGTCTATAGATTTAAGAATGAATTATAATTTAACTCTAGATAAAATACTAGTACAGAGCTTTTTATGCAGAGGCAAACAAAAACGACTAGTTTTATGATGGAAGTAGCCAGTAAATTGGATCATTAAGTGCTAAAGGAATAATTTATATTATTTCAGGATTCATCTTATCAACCAAACTAACTAATACAATCGAATCAATTTCTGCTGTTGTGACTATTAAATAGTTGTCATTGTATATTAGCCATTAAAAGTAAATAAGACCCTGTATTTGTACTTAAGAAAGTAAAGTTAAGCTTCTGTCATCATTTATTTTATAAATAAAAACTCCTTAATATCCTACGCCACAGACAAGATACTAACTATCCTGAGTTTATCTGTTTTATAAGAATAATTAAAATATTATAAAATGAATAGGTTAAAACTAATTAATTTTCATAAAAATAATAAAAATAGAAATAGATTAATTTTTAAAACTCAGAAATACTTTAAAAAAATTATTGATAAATTTAAAATAAAATATTAAATAAGTAATGAGTGAAGAATTAAGAATGAAAATTTAAAAAATCAATAAAATTAAGATAACAATCAGAATCAACTTTCAAAACAGTGTCTTAAAATCAAAATATAAAACTAAAAAATTACTAAAGGAAGTCAATGTTTCCTAAATAGATTTTGAAAAGGAAGTATGGGTGAAATGGATCTGTAATATCTGCAAATACTAAGCCGTAATTTTCAGGAAATAGGTGAAGGGTTCTTTCATCATGAGATATTGATAATTTATAGAGACTTAAATCTCCTCCTAAATAATTAGATGTGTTAACCTATGATAAAACATAAGGATTTAGAATATCTTGAATGCTGATAATAACAACACCTATTATATTTGCAACAAAACCTAATGTTCCTGCTTTATTAAATATTATTTATTCGAACTTAAAAGTTGTAAACCCCAAGCTAATATTCGTCTTTAAAACCTTGGGATTAGTTAAATCAGAGTAATCTACAATTTAAAGTCCTAATATTTCTCGACTTTGATAAAATATGTTTGTGCCTGGTACTCTTGCTTAATAGGATATAGAAATATTTGGTATTCCATTATCTATTAGAGAAATTAAATCTAACACTCCCTCGCCTTGGTATTTAAAAATAGCACTTCCTTGATCCTTTCGTGTCATATATAGAATATTTGATGGCTCTTCGTAAATGATTTAATTATCAAAGCTTCCACCTTCAGTCTTATAGAAGGTATAGCTGATTGATTAATATTGATTTAAAAGGAGATTAGGAATATCCAAATTCAAGTTAGGCTGGGTTTTTTAAAAGATTTTAGTATCAAACCAATTAGAATAGAAAAGGAAGTTTTCATCATCACTTAAATAAATGTCTCCGCTTGTTCCTTTTGTTTTTATTACTTAAAATATTTCTAGTTTTTTTTGGCTGACATCAAAGATAAGCACTCCTATCGAACTTTATTAGGTATATAAGAATTTTTGGTCTTTTGAAAGAGCAAAGTTATTACCAAGAGGATTGGATGGATAGGTATCAAGATATTTTATTTTAGATAAATCGCAAACTTTTCCATCATAGGATTAAATAAATATTGAGATATCAACCATGATATACTGGTATAGTTACACTTAGATAACAAGTATGGTATCTTATATAACCTCAAATGAAGTTAGAATATAGGCAGAACTAGGGTTAAAAGAGCACATATAATTAACTTCACCTTTCTGTAAATTAGCTATGTCTTGTTAATAAAAATGTAGAGAAGTAAAACCTTGTACAGCAAGAATAGTTTATTAATATACAAACCTAACTTTAACAATTTTCCAATCAGTAAGTTCTACTTCTCTTTGTATGATTAGTTATTTATTTAGCCAAGTTACTAATTTAAAATTATTCTAGCATGCTAAAAATGTCAAATTATATTACTAAAATTAAATAACTTTATTAAGAATATCAATACCATTTGAGCTAGTAAGATTTTGAGACAATACAAGAGGAAAATTGAGTTATTAAACATCATAGATTTCAAATAGTCCTGTGGTGTATCCAACCCATAGATAATTTTCAGAATCAGTGATGCTCAAAGAAAGAACTGAACCTTTTTAAGGTTAAAACTCAAATAATTTCACAATTTGGATGCTATTTTTAATATCTGTTATATCATAGATTGCAAATCCACATAATTAAAGATTTAAAGCTAAGAAACTCTTTGAATTAGATTTAAATAGAGACATTACATCAGTAGATCCATTTTTGCATAGATTTATTGTTGGATTAATGACTGCCAAAGGAAATGGCTCAAAAACAGGTAAGTCAGCATTGTAAAGACGAGAATCGTAGCACTTAGTCAATTAAATGAAGATTTAAAATGCTAATACTATTTTTAACAGACACATCTTATGTTTTTGCTTTTTAAAAAAGGCTTTTAAATGTAAAACACTGTTTTTTACTATTTTTAATTATTAGCAAATGCTATAAATTGATTGAAATTCTGCCTAATACTCTATATTACTTTTGCTTTATTATTTTTTATAAAATTAAAAATTTTTTAATTTATTATCTCTATTATTTAATAAATAAAGACTGACTATTTAAAAAAAAATTAGTAAGTAAATTAAATGTAAATAAAGCTTCTTCCTAACGTCTTAGTGTTGCGTGGATCATACTTTTTTCTGTTTACGTTAATTATACTATTAATATGTAAAAAAATTGTTAACGATACATTCTTATTAAATGACTAAATGTAAATATACATTTTTCTTGATAAAATGGTTTTAATATTTTAAGTATAAATTATAATTTAATAATAACTACTGTAATTTTTAAATTTTAATACTTAATTGTTTTGCTTTTTCAAATAAATATTAATTTTTAAAAAAAGTTTGAATTCATATTCATATTCATATTGCTAATTCAACAACTTAAAAATGTTATGGTATATTTAAATAATTAATTATTAATAATGAAAAGAATTATTTTGTCTTAAATTATAAATGTTATTATTTTAAAAGATAATAAAACCTACAGAGTAGGGTGACCACTAGAATGAAGTTACTATTCAAATTATTTTTTTTACAAAAATTAATCTTTAACTTTAGAAAGAAGCATAAAAAATAGAATTTATGAAATAATCTTTCTATCAGTCTGATGATACCCTCACATAACTAAAAGAAATATATATCAATTCACTTTTCATATCTATTTAGTTTTTATTAATTTTCAAATATTATAAAATATTTTATTGATACCCTTTGTTTTTAAATGTAAGATATAATACTTATTAATTTACTTTTACTTTTATTGTATTTTCTAACGTTAATCTGCTTTTACAGCAATTATGTTTTTTTAATTAGATAGTGACGATAGTTAAAAAATTTAAATTGTCTGTTTAAAAAATTGATAGCTATTATTACTTTACCAACCTTCTTCCTTGATTTTCAAAAATTTATGATGAAAAATTATAATCAAAACAGTAAAGATTGATTAATTCATTAAAGGAAAAATGAAATTTATTTTAATTAATAGTAAAAACGCAAAAATAAAATAAAAATAATATTAGCATTCAAAACCATCAAAATAATATTTTAAATTTTATTTTTATCATAAGAAAATTTTTAACTAGTAAAGAAAGAATTTTTACTCTATTTAAATAGTAGAAATTAGTTCAGTATATTTTTAGAAATAACTTATCTGTAGTTTATGAAAGGTAATATATAGATTTGTGTAGATATAAAAGCTAAATATCTAAAGATATTAATAATTTTGATGATCCTTTATTTGTAAATAATTTTCATAAATAAAAAATTAAATGCTAGGTTTGTTTTTTTTTATCTTAAGTTAATTGTAAGCCAAAGCCGTCTTAAATTTTGTTTCTTCATTTTATAAATCAGTAAAAATTTAGATGTTTATATGTACAATTAAAAATAAAATATTAGTTTTGCTTTTGTTAATTAAATTTTTTATAGTTGAGAAAAACAAAAATTAATTGAAATAATAATGAGTCACTAATTTTATTACAGTTTTAATACATATTTGAATTTTATTTTCATTCAAACTTTTTTTTTAGTACTAACACATAAATTAAAATATCATTATAATGTAAATAAATTATTTCATTATTTTTAGGTTTCTGGTTATATATAATTTTTATTATTCTATTAAATATTTATTTCATACTAGAGAAATAACTATCCGAGAATAGCAATATATAAATTAATTTAATATACTAAAAATTTTACAAAAGATGGAAATTCTTTAAAGTATTTTTAGAATCTATTTGTTATATTTGAAAGTTATGCTTTTTAAAATCAAAAAGAGGTTATGTTACTCAATCACATCTTATATGTATATATTTTCAAATTAAGTTTTTTGTAATTTTCTTAAATTATAACGCTGATATGTAATAATTTTAAGACAAATGCTCATTTGTAATTTCTATTTCAGCCTATTATTTATCATTCTAAATATAAATCCTATTTGAAAGTAGCTAATAAACGGTTTTTGTTGATTAGGTGTGACATTCAAAAGTAAATTTTTACTTTGTCAAATAATGATTAAGAATTCAAATGATTATCATAAAATCTAACAACAAACATGAATTTATAAAATTTATAAAACTTAAAAAATTATATTTATTCATGAATTTTTAGTAAAGTTAAGGAGTCTAAAGTTTTTTTCGTTAACATTTTTAACGCTTGATTTCATCCTATCTGGATTATTTTAATTTGGAGAAATTTCATCAAATTCTTAAACTGAATCAGTATGAATATGTAAAATTTATGAGTTCTACTATGAATTAAAATTGGTATTCAATTTTTCTGTGTTAGTGTTAAATTTACTTAAAAGCATTTATTTTCTAGGACTATCATCAGTTCGATATTGTTATAATTCTTGATTTTATTATTAATCTATTTAACTATTTGGATTTCTTGATGGTAACACTTAGATGTCAAATTATCTCAAAAGATAACCATCTAGATCGTATATTTTAAATCTAGATTAACCAATATGCTTTTAATCAGGAGTTCCTTTTAAAGTAATTTCTGTCTTCTAAAAATCAATTTACATCCATTCAGGTAGTCTCTAATTCTCCGATAAGCCCTTTTCAACTTAGTTAAGTCCTAAAATCTCTTAAGCGTCAACACAGCAATGAAAGATAACAGTTTTTTCATAGCATTTAATTGAACGAATCTAGAATGAATAACAATGGAAGCAATCTCCTTTAGCTACTTCAAAAAACTTTCTCTTTTTACTGGAGATCCCAAGAGCAACAGCAAATAGATATTATTCAATAAGAGGTAAATATATTAGTACTTCTTTTAAATATTTATTTTCCTATTCATTTTATTATTGGTTTTATTTATTTTTTATTTATTTCATTTACTCTTTCATCATATCTTAAGATATTTCTTAAAATGCTAATCTTAGGCAATCTTCATTGAGCTTGTATGTGGGAAAATTTGTATCTAAAACCTTTTCATTTACTTAAGTGCTTACATAAGCTCTGTACCAATCTATTTCTCTATATATTAAGAGAGCTTTCTGTTTCAATAAATTAACAATCTGAGAACAGATAGGAGAGCACTCTATGAAATACTCAACAGCTAGATATCTCAAAATAGTAGAAATTCTTGATTTATTATCATTTAATTATTTAAGTATATTTTTGCTAATAATTTTCTCCTTCTTTTAAGTTGTATTATTGTACTTTTAAATTGCTAAGTTTCTGATATACTCATAATTGATTTAACCGTTTTTTAAAAATAATTATTAATTTTAATTTTATTTAGGGGTTGATTATGCTCTCATCCTTTCATTAAATGTTATTTATCTCATTAAGCTAGAAGTAAAATTATCTTACTAAGATTGATTTTTCTTATTTGAAATCGGTGATTGGTTTATTTCATATTTGCTTTAGCTAAGGTTTTTATTTTGTTTTGAAATTACAGAGTCATTTAAAGAATATTTCTTTTTCAAATTACTTTTATCCTAAATTTACAAACCTATATGATCCTCTGGGTCATTATTTTAATCATCATGATGATTAACTGAATTTTAGAGATGGGAAACAAATGTAATATTTGAATCATTTTTCATTAAGAAATTGCTATTATAATTTTATGAAACTAAGTCATTAATTTTATTTAGCTAAAATACATGGCTTATTTCAGATTAAATATACTTCTGCGAAAGTTAACTTTAAACTGGTTTCCATAGTTAAAGAGATATTTCAAGCAAATTGTCAGTGATTATTATTTTCTTTTCATAGTATTCAGAAACGTGCGCAATTTCCTTTGAGTATATTAAGAAATGTCTAAATGTAATGTTGTAAAATTTAGTCCTATATTTCCATATTCCTAATATACCTAAAAGAGGACCAATAATTTATATGATGATTTAAAGTACAAGGAAAAAAGGGACTATTGAAATCTAAATTATTAATTGGTCTTATGCTACTGTGTAATCATCTGTAGCCTATATTTGAATTACAAATTACTGATTAAATAAGTTAGTAGATGGAGTTCCTACTAAAGTTCTTTCATTAGAAGAAAAAGATAACCAATAGCCTGGAGGAAGTTCTTCAAATTGTCCATTTTTTTATAATATTTTTGCTGTGAATTAAAGCGAAGTCGAATCTGCGCATTTAAATACAGAAGAGCTCATTTTGTAATTAAAAGGAGTCTGGACAGCAAGCTATCCATTTTCGTAATACTAATTAAAATCCTATTGAAGAGAATTAGCTACTAAAACAGGAGATTGCAAAGAGATAAAAATGGCTTCTTTTAAAGAAAGGGTTTAATCATATTTATAATTTATTTGATCGTCTACAGTCACATCTATTTTAGTAGAGGCAAAGAGAGTTTCATTTTTTAGGGAGAGTTTTATTGTATTATATAATACTGAGTTTACACTAGAAACAGAGCCTTATAATTATATAATATTCTACTCAGAATTTATAAGTACTAAAATACCTGGATATAATTTATTTACAAACAATCCATTGGATACTTGAAGAGTCACAATTAGTTAATTTTAGTTAGAAGAAATAGGGTTAGCTGAATTGGTGAAATCGACTACTAATGAAGGCTGAATGTAAAACTGAATTACATAATTTATTATATTTTAGTTTAAGGTGAATTAAATAAAATCAATTAGTTTCTCTTATTAATCTTAAGTTTAATTCCACTTTTACAGAATTTATTAGGACTAGTTATCTAACAAATTGAACTCATTTTGAGGTGAATAATTAGTTGAAACGAAACCAGATTTGTCTAAATATCCCGCTCTCACACAAGCCTATTTGATATTTATGGAATCAGCATAGCTAATATTTAAATTTGCATTAGTAAATGCGTCATCACCTATTCCTTAATAGCTCAAAAATATGACTTATTAAAGAGTTTTAGATAAATATTACCCATTCTCATCTGCTATCAAAGATTCTTTTGAGGCTTAGATACTCAAAACTTAATCTGAAGGAGAATATTGCATCCAACTAGGTAAACCTTAAATCACAAAATTTTAATAGTAGAAGGCCTCTTATATTTTCAAGTCTTTTGTCTAATAAATGTTAACTAAATAAATCTAAATTTTATCACCTACTTGGAATGGTTACCCTTTTTGAAGCAATTAACGAAGATATTAATTAGAGTTTGGGATTGAAACTAGCTTATAGACTGAAGAGTGAATTATAATTTAACTCTGGATAAAATATTAGTATAGAGCTTTTTATGCAGAAGCAAATAAAAATGATTAGTCTTACGATGGAAGCAGCCAATAAATTGGATCATTAAGTGCTAAAGGGATAATTTATATGATTTCAGGATTCACTTTATCAACTAAACTAACTAATATAATCGAATCAATTTCTGCAGTTGTCACTATTAAATAGTTGTCATTGTATATTAGCCATTAAAAGTAAATAACACCCTGTATTCGTACTTAAGAAAGTAGAGTTAAGCTTCTATCTTCATTTATTTTATAAATAAAAACTCCTTGATATCCAACGCCACAAACAAGATATTGACTATCCAGAGTTTATCTATTTATTTAAAAATAATAATCTAAATATAAAAAATTGAATAGGTATATTTATTTATTTATTTTTTTTTAATACTAATTTTCTTAAAAATAGATTTATTTAATTATCAAAAAATAATTCAAACATTTTTTAATTAAATTTAATTAAGCCTTAATTGAAGGATACAGAATGATAATTTAAAAAATCAATAAAAGTAATATAATAATCCTAATCAACTTTGAAGTGAAAATAATAAAATCAAAAAAAAAAAATTACTAAAGAAAGTAAATGTTTCCAAGATAGATTTTGAAAAGGAAATATGGGTTAAGTGGATCTGTGATATCTGCAAATACTATGCCATAAAATTCAGGAAAAAGAAGAAGGGTTCTTTCATCATGAGATAATGAGAATTTATAGAGACTTATATCTCCTCCTAAATAATTAGATGTGTTAACCTATGATAAAACCTAAGGATTGAGAATATCTTTAATGCTGATGATCAATACACCTATTATATTTGCAACAAAACCTAATGTTCCGGCTTTATTAAATATTATTTATTCGAACTTAAAAGTTTTAAATCCTAAGCTAATATTCGTCTTCAAAATCTTGGGATTAGCTAAATCAGAATAATCTACTATTTATAGTCCTAATATTTCTTGACTTTGATAAAATATATTTGTGCCTGGTACTCTTGCTTAATAGGATATAGAAATATTTGGTATTCCATTATCTACTAGAGAAATTAAATCCAACACTCCTTCTCCTTGGTATTTAAAAATAGCGCTTCCTTGATCCTTTCGTGTCATATAAAGAATATCTGATGGTTCCTCATAAATTATTTAATTATCAAAGCTTCCGCTTCCAGTCTTGTAGAAAGTATAGCTGACTAATTAATATGAATTTAAGAGGAGGTTAGGAATATCTAAATTCAAGTTAGGTTGGGTTTTTTAAAAGATTTTAGTATCAAACCAATTAGAATAGAAAAGGAAGTTTTCATCATCACTTAAATAAATGTCTCCACATGTTCCTTTTGTTTATATTACTTAAAATATTTCTAGTTTTTGTTAGCTAACATCAAAGATAAGCACTCCAATAGAACTTTATTAGGTGTATAAGAATTTTTGATCTTTAGAAAGGGCAAAGTTATTACCAAGAGGATTGGATGGATAGGTATCAAGGTATTTTATTTTAGATTAATCGCAATTTTTCCCATCAGAGGATTAGATGAACATTGAAATATCAACCATAATATACTGGTATAGTTACACTTAGATAACAAGTATTGTATCTTATATAACTTCAAAGGAACTTAGAACATACGCAGAACTTGGGTTAAATGAACACATGTAATTAACTACACCTTTCTGTAAGTTACCTATGTACTGTTAATAAAAATGTAGAGAAGTAAAGCCTTGTACAGCGAGAATAGTTTATTTAAATACAAACCTAATTTTAACAATGTTCCAATCAGAAAGTTCTACTTCTTTTTGTATGATAAGTTATTTATTTTGCCAAGTTACTAATTTAAAGTTATTCTAACATGCTAAAAATGTCAAATTTTATTACTAAAATTAAATAACTTTATTAAGAATATCATTACCATTTGAGCTAGTAAGATTTTGTGACAATACACAAGGAAAATTGAGTTATTAAACATCATAGATTTCAAATAGTCCTGTGGTGTATCCAACCCATAGATAATTTTCAGAATCAGTGATGCTCAAAGAAAGAACTGAACCTTTTTAAGGTTAAAACTCAAACTACTTTATAATGAGGATGTTATTGGTAATGTCTGTGACATCATAGATTGCAAATCCGCATAATTAAAGATTTAAAGCTAAGAAATTCTTTGAATGAGATTTAAATACAGCCATTACATCAGTAGATCCATTTTTACATAGACTTACAGTTGGATTAACGACTGCCAAAGGAAATGGCTCAAAAACAGGTAAATCAGCATTTTAAAGACGGGAATCATAGCACTTAGTTAATTAAATACAGATTTAAAATACAAATATTATTTTAAACAGGTTCATCTTATGTATTTGCTTTTTGAGAAAGGTTTTGAAATGTAAAACAGTGTTTTTACTTTATTTAAATTTAATCTATTAAAATAATAGCTATAAATTTCTTCAATTTCTTCCTAATATTCTCAGATTTTTGCTTTCTAATTTTTTCTAAATTAAAAAACTTTTTATTTATTTATATGTCAACTATATTAAATAAATGGAGATATATGTGATAAGAGACAATCAGTAAATTAAATGTAAATAATGTTTCTTCTTAATATTATTTGTTTATTTCTGTTTATATTAATTATACTTATAAAAATTTAAATAAAATTGTTAATAATAAACGCTGTAATAAAATACTAAATGTAATCAAACAAACATTTTTCTTGATAAATAATATTATTATTTAATAATAACTACTTTAATTTTTCAATTTTTTATTTAATTTTTTTGTTTTTTTTTCAAATAATATTCATTTTTAAGGTTTTGATCCATCCTTATTCATATTTAGATAGCTAATGGAATAATTTAAAAATCTTATGGTATATTGAAATCATTAATTTAAAATAATGAAATGAATTATTTTATCTTTAATTAGAAATATTTTTAAAAAAATAATTTAATTCAAAGAGTGACCACTAGAATAAAGTTATTTTACAAATTATTTTTTTACAAAAGAAAAACTTGAATTTTAGGAGTATAAAAAAACAATTAATGAAGTAATTTATCTATCATTCTATCCGTATGATTATATACTCACATAACTAAATGAAAAATTAGAAGATATGAATAATAATTAATTTTTCATATCTATTTAATTTTTATTAATTTTATGATACTATAAATATTTATAATGAATATTTTTTGTGTTTGAATATATCAGTTAATACTTATTATACTCAATTTTATTTATAATTTCACTTTTGCTTTTTATTGGATTTTATAATGTTAATCTGCTTTTATAGCAATTATATTTTTTCAATTAGATAGTGGTGATAATTAAACAATTTCAATTGCTTTGCTAAAAATATAAATAGAGCACTTTCTTTGAAAATTGAATGCAACTAAATTTATTATCAAATCTCCTGAAAAAAATTATCACTACAATATTATTAAAACCTATATATGTATTTAAATCAGAAAACTCTCTAATGATATTTTAAATTTTTGGATAAATAAAAGGATTGATGCTATGTCCATCATTTTTCAAAACTAAATATAAAATATTTCATGTAATGAAACATATTTTTCAAATATAAATCTCAATTATAAACATTAAAATTTCTATTTTATCAAATTAAAATTATCTTCAGTAAAATCAAGTTAATAAATAAATTATATTTAGATTTTATTGGGAAATTTATCTTTAAATTAGATGAATTATAATTATTCCTTGAGTTCCCGGATAAAAATTACTTTTCTTTCCAACCTCTTAATTCCTTGATCTTGAAAACTTTTTTTGATGACTCATTATAATAAAAAATTAATTTAATAGAGTAAAGATTTATTTTATTGAAGGAATCAGAGTAATCTTATTCTTAATTAATAATAAAAAGGAAATATAAAATAAGAATAATAAAAATTATATGTTTTGTAGAAAAATAAATTTTATTTTTAAAATAAATTAATTAATATTCTTCTTTTGATAAAAATAAAATTATATGTAATAAATATATTTTTATTGTTTTGAATATTAAAAAAACTAACTAATTAGACTTTGTTTTTTATACAGTTAATAGCTTTTAAGTATTAAAGAATTACTTAAATGATAGAAAGATGTTCAGTAAATTTATTAGAAAATGTTTATCTAATGTAAATAAATTAATGTAAAAATAAAAGATAAAAATCAAATAAATGCTATTAATAGCTTTCTTTGATGACTCTTTATTTGTAAATAATTTTCTTAAATAAAAAATTAAATTTTAGAGATGTTTTCTTTTATTTTAAGTAAACTGTAAGCACTCTTAAATTTTGTTCTTGAAATTTCGTTATCAAATTTAGATTATTATATCATCAGTTAAAAAGCAAAAAGATTAGTTTTTTTTTGAATTTTTAATTAATTTTTTATAGTTGAAAATAGAAAAAACTTAATTGAAGCGACCTAACAAGTCACTTTTATTACAACTTTTTTATATACTTGAATTTTATTTTCATTCAAATTATTTGTTAAAAATACATAAATTAATTTTAAAAAAATATGTTGATAATAAATTATTTCATTAGTTTTAAGTTAAATTTTCTGGTATATTATGATCACTAAGATTTCTGTCAGTGCTCTTAAATTTTCCTGAATTTTTTATTTAAGGAATTTATTCTTCAAGCTCTAAAACTTTATCGCTTATAATTTACATATTGTGTGAATTTGACAATGATTATAAATTTTATTATATTTTTTCAGAACTGTTAGATTTATTTAGATTAACATTTTTTCTTGTAGTTTCATCTCTAGTTTAATCTAAAATTGCATTTTTTCTTGTAGTATCCTCGCTTGTTTGATCTAAAAGCAAATTTCTTCTCGTAGTGTCATCATTTATTGAACTTTATTCTTTTTTTCTCTCAACCTGAATTTCTATTTGTTGAATCTAATATTCTTCTTCTTCTTAATCAAATTATCTTCTTTTTGGTAAGACTTAGAGATCAAACTGTCTTATCAGATAGCCATCTAGATCATAAAATTTGAATCTAGACTCTCCGACATGCTTTTTATCAGGAGTCCCTTTCAAAGTAATTTCAGTTTTTTATGAATCTATTTGCATCCATTCTGGTAGCATTTAATTCTCTGATAAACCTTTCTCAACTTAATTAAGCCCAAAAAACTCTTAGAGTCCAACGCAGCAGTTAAACATAACACTTTTTTCATAGCATTTTATAGAACGAATCTAAAAGGAATAGCAGTGGAAACAATCTCCCTTCGATACTTCGAAGAATTTTCTCTTTTTGTTGGTAACTCCAAGTGCTTCAGCAAATAAATATTGTTCGATAAGAGGTAAATAAATAATTACTTCTTTAAAAAATTTATTTTCGGATTACTTTTAAGTAGAATTTGATTACTAAATTTACTCTTTTTACATGTCTTCTGAGATTTCGTAAAGCGCTAATCTAACAGAATTCTCTTCGAGCAAATATGTTGGAAAATTTGTTTCCAAAACTTTCTCTTTAACTTACACTTTCACATATGCTCTATACCAATCTATTTCTTTATAAATATGAAGAGCTTTTTGCTTCAATAAATTTACTAAATTTGTGCAAAGAGGAGAACATTCTATAAAATATTCTGCTGCTAAACACTTTAACATAGTAGATAGTCTTGACTCTTCGGTATTCAACTATTTCAGGAGAGTTTGATTAACCATTCGTTCTTTTTATGTTATTCTATCATGATTTTGAAGAACTTATTTTTTAATAAAATCAAAGTTGATTTCTCCATTTAACAAAAATAACTACTGGTTTTAGCTTTATTTTATTGTAGATGATACTCTCATTCTTTCATTGACATTAATTTATTTTACTAAAGCAGAAGTATGCATGCTCTGCTATGTTTGAATCTTTTTACTCTAAAGAGAATTATTTACCTCATATTTACTCTAATTGGGGTTATTATTTTTTTAATTCTGCTAATAGTGGGTTGAAAAATTTAAAGTTTTGTCCTACTATTAATTATTCTTCTTTTATTAATTTTTAGTATCTATCTCTTAATTAATTTAATCTTCCTACTCATAATCATAATTATAATTTACTGATTTTTAAAGTTACTCAACAAAGGTCATGTTGTTTTCACTTTTTTCTATAAAATCACCACCATATTTATTAGTAATTATGTGATGTATTTTATTGGATTAGTAAGCTTGACTCATTTCTAATTAAACAAATTTTAATAAAAGTTAATTTTCTACAGGCTTCCACAATTAAAGAGATATATCTAGCATATTATCAGTTATTATAATTTTCTTTTCATAGTACTCAGACACATGTACTATTTCCTTTGAGTAAATAAGGAAACGCTTAAACATTATATTATAAAATATTGTTCTATATTTCCATACACCTAATATTCCTAAAACTGGTCCAAGGATCTAAATAATAATTTACAACACTAGGAAAAATGGAATTATTGATACAGTAATTATCACCTAATCTTTCGCTGTTGTGTATCCATCTGTAGCCTCTATTTAAATTGTAAATTATTAATTAAATAAATTGGTTTGAGGAGTCCCTATCAAGGTCCTCTCATTAGAAGAAAAAGATAGCCAATAGCCTGCAGGTATTTCTTCAAAGTTACCATCTCCTTTCGATACTTTTGCTTTGTATTAGAGAGAACTCGAATCTACGCATTTAAAAACTGATTCACTCATTTTGTAATTAAAGGGTGTTTAAACAGCAAGCTATGCATTTGGATACTATTAATTTAAATCATCTTGGAGACTACTCTATACTGTAACTGGTGATTACAGAGATATAAATGTTGCCTGGCTTAATGGTAGAGTTTAAACAAATTTATAATTTATTTAATCATCTATTGTTACATCTGTTATTGTAGAATTAAACAGTGATTTATCTGTTAACGATAATTTGATTGTATTTGCTAATACTGAGTTTACACTAGAAACAGAGCCTTGCAACTAAATTATATTCTATTCAGAATTTATAAGCACTAAAATACCTGGATAAAGTTTATTAACAAACAACCCGTTTGTCACTTGAAGAGTTACTATCACTTAATTTTAGTTAGAAGAAATGATATTTGTTGAATTTTTTAAATCAACTACTAAAGACGGCTCTATATAAAATTATATTACGTAGTTTATTATATTTTAGTTCAAAGTGAACTAAATAAAATCTAGTACTGATTGCAGTTGGACTTAGGTTTAATTCCATTTTTGAAGAACTACTTGTGAATATTAATTATCTGCTAAACTGAATTCATTTTGAGGGGAATAAGTAGAAGAAACAAATCCAGATTTATCTAGATACCCAGCTCTCATACAGATCTACTTAATATTTATGGAATCATCTGAACTAATATTTAAATTCACATTAGTAAAAGCATCATCACCTAACCCTTAATAACTCAAAAATATAATCTACTATAGAGTTTTTGATAGATATTAACCATTTGTATCTGCTATTAATGCTTCTTTTGACGCTTAAATGCTCAATACTTAATCCGAAGGAGAATATTGTATCCAACTTGGTAAACCTTAAATCACAAAATTTTAATAATAGAAAGCCTCTTATATTCTGACATCTTTTGTCTAATAAATGTTAACTAGATAAATTTAAATGATGTCACCTACTTGGAATGGCTGTCCTTTTTGAAGTAATTAACGAAGAAACTAATTAGAGTTCGGTATAGAAACTAGCTTATAGACTTAAGAGTGAATTATAATTTAGCTCTAAATAAAATACTAGTACAGAGCTTTTTATGCAGAGGCAAACAAAAATGACTAGTCTTATGATGGAAGCAGCCAGTAAATAGGATCGTTATGAGCTAAAGGAATAATTTATATGATTTCAGGATTTTTCTTATCAACTAAACTAACTAATATAATGGAATCAATTTCTGCTGTTGTGACTATTAAATAGTTGTCGTTGTATATCAACCATTAAAAGTAAATAACACCTTTAATACGTACTTAAGAAAGTAAAGTTAAGCTTCTGTCTTAATTAATTTAGTAAATAAAAACTCCTTAATATCCGACACCGCAGACTAGGTATTAGCTATCTTAAGTTTGTCTATTAAATTAAAAAATTTATATTTAAGTAAATGAAAAACAAAAAAATTGAAATAAAATTACTAAAGGAAGTAAATGTTTCCAAGATAAATTTTGAAAAGGAAGTATGGATTAAGAGGATCTGTGATATCTGCAAATACTATGCCGTAAAATTCAGGAAACAGGAGAAGGGTTTTTTCATCATGAGATATTGAGAATTTATAGAGACTTAAATCTCCTCCTAGGTAGTTAGATGTGTTAACTTATGACAAAACCTAAGGATTTAGAATATCTTGAATGCTGATAATAACAACACCTATTATATTTGCAACAAAACCTAATGTTCCTGCTTTATTAAATATTATTTATTCGAACTTAAAAGTTTTAAATCCTAAGCTAATATTTGTCTTTAAAACCTTAGGATTAGCTATATCAGTATAATCTACTATTTAAAGTCCTAAAATTTCTCTACTTTAATAAAATATGTTTGTACCGGGTACTCTCGCTTAATAGGATATAGAAATATTTGGTATTCCATTATCTACTAGAGAAATTAAATCCAACACTCCTTCTCCTTGATATTTAAAAATAGCGCTTCCTTGATCCTTTCGTGTCATATACAATATATCAGACGGTTCTTCATAAATGATTTGATTATCAAAGCTTCCACTTCCAGTCTTGTAGAAAGTATAGCTGACTAATTGATATGAATTTAAGAGGAGGTTGGGAATATCCAAGTTCAAATTGGGCTAGGTCTTTTTAAAGATTTTAGTATCAAACCAATTGGAATAGAACAGATAGTTTTCATCATCACTTAACTAAACATCTCCACATGTTCCTTCTGTTTTTATTATTTAGAATGTTTCAAGCTTTTGTTTGCTCACATCAAAAACTAACACTCCTATCGAGCTTTGTTAGGTATATAAGAATTTTTGATCTTTAGACAGGGCAAAGAAATTACCGAGAGGATCTGATGGATAGGTATCAAGGTATTTTATTTTAGTTTTATCACAAGTTTTTCCATTATAAGACTATATAAAATCTGAGATATCAACCATGATATACTTGTATAATTATACTTAAATTACAAGTATTGTTTCTTATATGACCTCAAAAGAACTTAGAACATAAGCAGAACTGGGGTTAAAAGAGCAATAATAGTTAAGATTACCTTATTGTATACTAGATACTGGTTATTAATAAAAGTGAATAGAAGTAAATCCTTGCACAACAAGGAAAGTTTACTTAAATGCAAACCTTATTTTAACAATATTCCAATCTGATAGTTCTACTTCTTTTTGTATGGTGAGTTAATTTTATTACCAAGTTATAAGTTTAAAGTTATTTTAACATGCTAAAAATGTCAAATTATATTGTGGAAATTAAATAACTTTATTTAGAATATCGTTACCACTTGAGCTAGTTAAATTTTACGATAGAACAAGAGGAAAATTTAGTTTTGAAATATCATAAATTTCAAATAGTCCTGTTGTGTATCCAACCCATAGATAATTTTAGGAATCTGTATTACTTAATGATAAGACTTGACCTTTTTAGGGTTAGTAAGGAAAGAATTGCACAATTTAGATACTATTTTACTTATCTGTGATATTATAGATAGCGAAGCCACATAGTTAGAGATTTAGAGCAAGAAAATTTTACTAATTAGAGTTAAATAGAGACATCACATCAGTAGAACCATTCTTGCAAAGACTCGTAGTTGGATTAATCACTGATAAAGGAAATGGTTCATATATTGGTAAGTCAGTGTTGTAGAATCGAGAATCATAACATCTTGCTATTTGTAAACAAACTAAAAACGAATAAAACTATTATAATAGATTCATTTTTTAAATAAAGTTAATCTATTTATTATTCAAATTTATCAAAAAGAATATGTCTGTTTGTGTCTGCTTTATTTGCTTTTTAATTTTTTAGGTGTTTTTTTTATTGTTTGTTTGAAATTTTTTAAAGTTGTAAATTATGCTTAATTTTTAATCAAATCTTACTTGGTTTTTTTAAAGAATTTTTTTAATCAAATAGTAGAATTAATAAATTAAGGTAAATAATTATTTCTAATTAATTTATTAATCACCCTTAAAACTATCTCATCTCTCCTACTCCAAAATGATAAGAAATGTGATAACTTTCATGCATGATTTTTGTTTGAATAATATTTTTCACAAATAAAAGCATTATATATCTGGATGAAAAGTGAGTTAAAAATGAACCAATAAAATGGTTTAATTAAGGTACTTTTGTTCATATTTACAAACTATTGAAATATGATTATATTTTGATTTATATAAGTAAATAAAATTGTTTCTATTGATTAATAATGAAAAATATGTTTACTTTTTTAAAAAAGCTAAAGCAAATTGTAAATTTATTATTTGAACCAGCAAAAGTAAGTAACTCTTCAATCTTCTAATATATATTTAGATTAGCTAGCTCTCTCTTACTGAATTTAAAAATCATAAAAAATTCTATAACCCACAATTTTATTTGTGTGTAATAATTTTAAGGATTTTAAATAACAAAATAAATTCATCTTTATAATGTAAGAAAAAATAAATGAATCTCCCATTAATAGCTTTAAACCATAAAATTGATTTATTTGAATAAAGCTATTTAGTAGTTTTTTTTTCAATGATTTTGAATGATATGTTACTAACTAACGAACAAAATAAATAATAAAAGTATGAGGAGCTATTATTTTTTTTAATTAACCAAAATAAAATTTAAAGTATATTTTAAGACCAATATTAATCAAATAAATTCAAGCGTTAATTTTAAAAAAGAAAAACTTTATGTTTTAAATAATATGTAAACTGTAATTACTATTTTTTTGTACCTGAAACATGTAGTTAAATAGAAAATGTTAAAATTATTTTTCAAAAGTCAATAAAATGTAATGATTCTCTAACATTTTAATTTTTCTTTGTTTTTAGAAGTAACATTTTTGTTATTTATTTTTATAAAATTGAAATATTAAGTTGCAACAAATAATGCATGACATGTATTTTAAACATTATTATCGCTTAAATTATAATGTCTATTAAAAAAAATATAAATATTCTAACTCATGAAATTGATATAAAATATCATCTGACATCAAAATAGATAGACTAGAAGAATAATATTATTTTTATTCATTCTGATAAAGTTAGTGTTCCTATTTATAGATATAATTCAAGCAATTATTCTCAAGTCATGTAAATTAATTAAAAAACTTTTTTATTTACTTATGTTATTTGAAAAAATATAATTTTTATTAAAGTGATTGATAAATAAAATACACATTTTCAAAAATTTTATTTTATTTAGTTTTTATTTCTGTTATATAAACTGATTAAATAAATTATACATAAAAAAATATAAATTGATGACCATCTATTTATCTCAAACTGAACAAATTAAGGTTTCTTAAAGTAAAAAAAAATTATTTGTTTATTTTAATATCTATTGAAAAAATAAAAGAGTAAGTGAAAAGAAGGATATTTTTATTTAGTTTGAACCAAAATATTTTTTTAAATATTATTTTATCAGTTTTAATAAGTACGTATTGTTGTTTGGAGTTTTCTTACTTACTTACTTACTTACTTACTTACTTACTTACTTACTTACTTACTTACTTCATGAAATTAAAAAAATTTGTTATGCTTTTTCGAAAATAAATTTTTTTCAAGATGTAATTAGCAATTTTGTCATTTATTTGGTTAGTAATAGATTTTATTTGAGTTGTATTTTATAAAGCTTTTTAGAGAATAATTTTTTAAAAATAAAGATAAGAAGAAAAGTATGACAAAATTAACTGAAAAGGATATTTAAAAAACTAAATACCAACCTGCTTTTTATATTTATAGAATTAATTTAATGATAATTTTTTGGAAAGAAATAATTTTTGAACAAACTCTAAAAAAAATAGCATCCAAACAAAATTTTAATTGGACTCGAAAATAAAAAAATATCTTTTTCAATAATAAAATTTTTATAATAAATATATTTAGATTAAAAGTACAATAAAACCTGTCATATTATATACCCTAGATAGCTAAGTTAATTATTAAAAATGGGTAATATAGTTTTTCTTTTTGGAACTTTGAAGAAACAAAAAATATTTATATATTTTTTTATTTTCTCCCCCATTTAAATTCCAAAAATGGATATTTCAAAGGATTGAAAATATTTATTTATTTATTTATTTATCTAACTCTCTCTTTTATTTTTACAAATTCTTACAAAAAAAATATGAAAAGAATCTAGATGTTAATTAATAAGGATACATATTAATTAAGTATATTAAAGACTGAAATACGTAATTAAATATTTCAATGACTTATGAAGCATAAATTTGGAAAATATATATTAAAAAAAAATTTTTAATGCTTTATTATAAATTTAAAAATAATTTACTATAAAAATGGAATTTGAATTGATAAAATGTTTTTAATTTTATAAGGAAGAACTAACTATTCTTTAAGACTATTCAAAAATGATAATTTATTTTTACAAAATTTTACTTTTGGAAATTTAATTAATTAAATCTAATAAAGATTTCTTCTAAATAATGTTAAAATTACAAGCTCATTTAATTTTTACTAAAAAATGCTCTAAAAAATTATAAAATATTTAAAATGTTTATTTGTTTTAATAGAATATGAAGAAACAAATAACTAACTATTGAATTCTAATTTATAATCAATAAATCACAAAAATATTTTATTTATGTTAGAAATTATTAAAGAAATTTAAAGATATTGTTTAAAAATTAGTTTATTAGCTAGCTAAGATATTTTCAGGTCAAAATACAATTAATTAATTAGCAAAGATAATTTAAGAATATAATACAATTATTAATTTATAATAATTTGTTATAAAAAATTTAAAAAGCTAAAAAAATTTGTAAATAATCTGAAAAATAAAATGAGTTAAATCTGTAGTATTCATTAATCTGAATTTATCAGCCTTTGTGTTGATAAGAGTTGCAGCAATAGAAGCCTCATCTGCTAAGTGTGTGCTAGAGAGAGTCATATGACCCATGTAATAATCCCTTTTTAGGAGTTTTGTGACTTTCTATACAACGATATAAAGGCTAGTTAAACCTAAAGCGAGTTTGGTAGAGACATCAAAAATTAAGAAGTAAAATATATTTATTTATTTATTTAAAATAATTTTTTAAATTACTTTTATATATACAATAGTAAGAAATAGCCTATTTATTAACTTAACTTGAGAAGATAATTAAATCTATGTAAACGCTCAAATCTAGCTTATAAATAACACTCTTGGAATAAAATGACTTACAAAAGAGGTTTTTAGAAAGAAAATTAGAATAATTTTAACATCAGATTAAAATTGTGCTAACCAAATAAGAAGGATACCAGGAAATCATCCGAAATATTATTTCTGAGCCAGATAGCTATACATTAAATGACAACAATTATCTCATGCAAATCTAATTTACAGAAATCGAAGGTCTGAAAGAAAAGTTTAATGATTTTTCTGAGCAGTTCAAGAAATATCGCTCTAATGTATGTGAATATTTTTAACAAATTGAAGATGCTTTGAATAAAGTATCAGCTTTTAAAGGCCCATAAATTGAAGAGTTAGACGAGAGCTTTTTAAATTATCAAAGCCATATTTCTCAGCAAAAAAGTTTATATTAAAATAAAAGAATTTATGAGCAAGCAAATGTTTTAGAAACAGACAGAATCAATTGGAAAAATCGCTCTGTGATATCAGCAAGTAATACCAATAATCCTCCAAGAGATGATTTCTAAAGTTCAGGCCTTAATCTTCGAAATTCATCTCAAAAGTTGACTAGAGAAGAATATTAAAATTAGATGCTATCGCCTTAGTAGAATGTTTGTAAATTTAGATTCTAGCCTAATAACAAGAAAGAATTTCAAAGTGCTATGTAAGAAATTATTGGCAATTAGGGAATAAAGAGTCTATGGATTGATTTCCCTATTGACTCAGGAATCAACGAGATAAGATACTTGATCTAGGTCCTGAAATTGAAGCAAAACATCAAAAAGATCTTTTTAAATTTTCCTAAGTAAATTTAATTTAACACAATTGCTAGAATATTTTTTAGATAATAACTTCTACTTTTATTTAATAAAGGAGCATCACAATAAATAGCTTGGCATTTTAAGGATTGTTTGATTGTCTTAAGAATTTAAGCAGTGTTGAAATATTATCATTAAAAATGAAAAAGTAAAATAAAGAGATAAAATATTTGTTTTTTTTGATGATAATTTTTTTATAAATAAAATAGATGCTAAATAGAAGCCTAATTCTCTTGGGATACTCTTTTAGATTCAATCTACTATCTTTCAAAGAAAAATTTACAAAGGGTTTTACTTTTAGTCAGTGATTAAACAGGTAAAGAGATTAAGCAAAGAATATCCTATAGACCTCATTCGAATATTTTATATGAATTGATTGACTTTAATTGAAGATAAAATTAAGTTCTATCTATGTTCATGAACAATTTAAAATAAATTTATTAGTTATAATCAATATTTTTTTATTTTTTGTGATTAAACATTTTCGTGAATTTATTCAATGATAATATTCAATGTAATATTTTAGTTCGCTAATGTTTAAAATTGTTTTATTTGACAATAATTCAAATCAATTAATTATGATTAATTTTAAAACTTCATTTTTACATTCGAACACTTTAATAATATTATTTTATTTTTTTGATGCTTGATTTCTTAATTTGGATTAATTAAAATCTATTTCTTTTATTAATAATTAATATCATTAAATATCTATAAATTAATAATGATTATTATTTAATTCAAATATAAATTCCAATAATTGTCTTAAGAATTTAATTTTTTTTAGTTTATTTGAATATGGTTATAAACAGTGATTAATTTTTTCCTACTTTCAAATTATAAAAATAATAACTATTATGAGATATATTATGTACATAAATTAAACTATTATATTATTTTTAAAATTTTATTATTTATGTTTGAATTAATTTTATAAAAATTCATAAAAAACAAGGGTTTGTTTATCAGTTTATCTATCTTTTTATTTATTTATCTATCTATCGTTCACTCTTTGGATAATAAAAACTAATATATTTCGTTCTTAATTAAAAGTAGAAGTTAGAAATAATTACAGAATGAATAAAAGTAATAATTTTACATTTCCTGCTTGCTTGGCAATGTCTAATGGACGCTGTTTTTCTGAATTTAAGGAGTTAATATCTGCTCCAATTTATATTAGAAGAGAAACAACTTTAGCGTTAGAATTAAGACAAGCGTAATGTAGGAAAGTCTACTACATTGATTAAATTTGATAGAGTTTATCCAATAGTATGCTTCTGGAAAATACTATATTTATAATATCTATTGGTTTTTTTGAAATGATAGCTTTGCACATTAAATCTATTTAATTGCTAGATAAGTCTTTTTCTATAAATTTTTAATCTACATATTTTGCTTTAATCCAATTTTCTTTCTACTCACTTGTGCTTTCAAATGTTGGTTTTAAATCTTTCGATGCATTCTTCTCCCACATTTCATTCAACTATATTTATAATTAATTAATAATTAAAATTTAACATAAATAATATATTTGATAAAAGATATAAAATGTTTAAAATTAATTTTTTTGAATTTAATTAAAATTTTACATATCCTGTACCGTTAAACAAATAAAACTCTAAAATATCATCTGGAATGTTATCTAATTTGAGTGATCTAACCTTAGAAATACTTGGACCTAGTTTTCTATGGATTCCACTGCATTCTAAACATATGACAACACATAAATTCAAGCTTATCCAGCTTGGATCAGGTTTAGAACAATCTGCACAAATATTATTTTAAATTATTTAGTAAATCAATTCATCTTAATTGGATTCATCTCTATCTCTCATGATTGGACCTTTCGATAAATAAGATTCAGTTCCCATTTAAAATGCTAATTTCCATTCCTATGTATACAATTAATTAAATTAAAATTATATTTGTTATTTTTGAATATAAATAGAAATGACAATATTAATTATTAAACGATTATTTAAAGTAATATTTTATCCTTTTTTTTAATTCTCTAAAATAAATATTAAATTAGCATTTTTATTATTAAACTATTAAAAATGATATCTTAGTTTTACTAATTAAAATAATCAAATATTACTTGAAGTGATTGGTTGGATGGAGCGATTAGGACTAATGGCTTTTTCATTTAGGGAGATATCACTTCAAAAGAATTTGCAAAATCACAGTCAGAAAATTCATTAAAATTAATTAACTCAAGAGCACTTAGTTGCTCTCTATGAATGATTCCTTTTTTAATTTTTATGGCATAAAATTTTCCTTTTTCTAGTATGAAGTACTTTCTTTTAAACTCTTTGCTTTTATGACTTTTATAATGCAAATATTCTCCTTTTACTTTTTATTTTTTCTTTGACTCTTACTGTGTTACTGTTTAATTTGGATTTTCTACTTTTATTTTTAATTGATTTAACCTATGCTGCATTTCTTCAAAATATTCATTTTTCAAATTTTGAGGAGTTTTGAACAATCTTAAATAACTGTCTAACTATCTCATTTCTAATTGCTACTGCTCATTGAAAGTCTTTTAAATATTTATTTAATTCCTTTATATTGCTTATTTAATCTATTAAAAAATTACTGCAAAGGTTTGGAGTAGAGCACAAATACTATTAGAAATTTCTGTATTCATTTCATACTGTAACTTATTTAAATTGCAAGTATATTCATATCTTATTTATTCATACTACTTTGCAACTTATAAATGATTCTTTGAGATGTTGCTATAGTGGTTTTTGTCTTTCTATAACTATTTAAATCGTATTAAACTTTATATTTATTTGTTTTGTTTTTGCAAAAAATAATTAAATTAAATTTTTACAGTAGCTTTTTTCTATTATGAATTTTTGAGCTCTACGGCTTCAAATTCTTCTTAAAGTTTTTGAAATTTTTTTTTGATATCTTTGAGCTGGTCTGGAGCTACGTTTGTATAGTTTTTAAGAGGAGAAATGACAAGATTTGTTAGATTAAAATTTAAAGCATCATAAAAATTAGTCAAATCTTTGAAGTATTCAGAAGTGTAAGTGAACATGGAAAAGAGTTCCTTATTGTCTTCGACCAAATTTAAGTTGAGAGATACTTCTTTTGACAAAGCTTTTAGAGTTTAAGAGTATATTTCACCATTTTTAACTAAATCTTTTAGATTTTTAGCAAATTTCTTTAAAAATGCCTTCATATTTTCTGCTCTTTTCTCAACCCTGCAAACATTAACCTTGTAAAAAGGGGAATCTGCTATATCAAATGAAATTCCATTATCAACAAAAAAACTATCGCTTGTGCTATGAATTTCTTCCATTCTTCTTTTCAAATCTCTATCTAAAGGCTTATAAAAGCTTTTTCCTATGATAAATAAATTTACATAAATATATAATTTGAATAAATATTGACTTAATTCTCAAAAATTGAATTATTTTTTAAATTTAATGTAAAATATTCTATTATTGATTACTTTATCCTTCTTGCAAAACCTAAAAGCTAGACTTTTTTGTTTAAATTTCATTCTAAATAGATTAATCTCCCTAAGTGTTTCCTGGTTGGTCGCTTTGTTAGATTTCTTAAACAGTTTAAAATTAAACCGAAGATCTTGTTCTTACAATCTATTCATCGTGCTTTTCTTGTGTGCTAACAGAATTTAATTCTTTAATAAACTAATCATTTTTTATATTTGAAAGCATATTCTATATTTCTTTTGATGCTGATGACAAATTTTCGCAAGATTTAGAGTATCTCTCCTATAATTAGGCTAATTATATATTGAAAAATGAAGACAGTTATGAAAATACCCAATTAATAATTACCTTATAAAGTATCTATTTGCTACTTCATTTAATTTACTATTACTTGCTATATCTATATTATAATTTGATTATATTTAAACAGGTTCATTCTTTATCTATCTCATAATTCATAATTTATCTATTTATTTATTATTGATTTAAATGTAATACCTCTAACTCTTATGAGTATTTTTCATTTTATTTTTGTAGCTCCAGTTTCTCCATCCTCATTTAGTCTTGTTTAACCTCTAAAATCTCTATTTTCTTTTACATTATCTGAAATTCTAGTTTAAAATTAATGTCTTAATCCTCCTTTATTTGGCTCATTTTATCTATTATGACAATTAACTAACTTAGTGATTTATTAATTTGTTATTTGCGTAAGTAAGTAAATAAGAAATTAATTAATTAATTAAAAAAATTGAACGAAAATATTAAATTATAAACTTAACTTTTTGTTGGATATTCTTAAATATCTTATAATACCTTTATATGATCTTTTATTAAATAATTCACAAGTATTTATTACAATTGTAACTTAAAGTTTTAAGGGTATTATTTAAACAAAATATCATTAAAAAATAATTCAGCACCTATAAAATGAATTCCAATAATCACAAATAAATAATCAAGCTTAAAATAGCATACAAATTTTTATAATTTTTTTAAAAAAGAGTATTGAAAATTTGTGGCCAATTATTTATTTATTTAGTTTACCTACAAAAATAGTTAAATGCGAGAATTAATTATAATATAATAATTATATTTAATAAATTATTAGGCAAATAGAACCATTCAATCAAACATATTAAAAATTAGTTTATATCATTCAAAATATTTAAAAACACTTACTTAAGGTTTAATAATTTTATCTTAAAAATATAGATAACTCTTAGCTTCATATTTTAAAAGCTAAATTATTTAGAGAATCTGTCTGTATTGATTCAACCTCTAAAATATTTATGGAACAATTAAATATATTTTTTCTCTTGCTTAAATTAAAGATCCCACAATTTCAATGGCTGGTTTACTTGGTGCATTAAATACATATATTTTAGTTTTATTTTTTATTTACTATTTTTAAAAATAGATGAAATTTCAACTTTAAAGCTTGAAAGGGAGGGAGTAGAATAAATAATTTGAAAATAAATTAAAAGTTTTGTTTTATAAAATTTAAGAACATTAATTTTTAGAATTTTTCTAATATGACTAACTGCCCATCTCTAATTCCTACTATATATATTTTTAAGTATACTATTTAAATACAAATATTAAAATTAAATAATGAATGCTAAATTAATTTATCTGGGATATCTATCACTTCATAAAAGCAAATTTATAAATTAATATTTGATAATTAATTAATTATTATATTTTATTTGTTCTTTTTATTCATTTATAATTAATTATATTCCATAAATTGCTATATTTTTAGAATTTTTCTAATATGACTAATTGCCTAACTCTAATTCCTACTATAGATATTTTTAAGTATACTATTTAAATACGAATATTAAAATTAATTAATGAATGTTAAATTAATTTTTCTGTGATATCTATCACTTCATAAAAGCAAATTTATTAATTAATATTTGATAATTAATAAACTAATTATTATATTTTATTTGTTCTTTTTATTCATTTATAATTAATTATATTCCATAAATTGCTATTCAATATTTTTGAAATAAAAAATAAATGATATAATAGATTAAAGAATACAAAGAATTAGAAGAAGTAATTATTAATTTTTTTATCAATATCCTTTAAATTTATATAAATTAATAAAAAAGTTTTTAAACTCTTCGCTTTTATCTCATTAGATTCTTCATATTAATCTCGAGTATATTTTATTTATAAATATTATTTTTATTATTATTAATAATTTATTTTTATATATTTAACTTTCAATTTATTTAGATAAATAATTTTTCTAATAGAAATTTTCATCATTATTTATTAATTTCTATTAAAACAAAATTTTTTTTGCTATTTTGACTTAATTTTCATTTCAATTCTTAATTATTTACTATTTATTATTTGATATTTTTTCTTCGTTTTTTTTATTAACACTTACACTTGATAAAAACAGTTTATTTATTTTGGATTGTAATATTTTTAATTATAAAAATTAATTTAAAAATATAAAACTCTTTTAATTTATTTGATTTATTTTCCTTTTTCTTTTTATTGTGCTTACTTTTTTTTCATTTTTGTTAATTTAGATAATTATTAATTAATCTTTTTATTTCATATTTTTTATTCATTTTTTCCTTCTAATGAACTATTTAATTATTTATTTTTTAGTAATTATACTAAAAAAAATTTAATTGGTGACAAAGGTGCATCAGACTTTAGCTCCGCTTTAGTAAATTGCATTAATCTGTCAAATTTAACACTTACCCTTCGGTAAAAATAGTTTATTTAAATACTTTCAATTGTGATATTTTTAATTATAAAACTAATTTAAAACAATAAAAGCTCTTTTTTCTTTTTCTTTTTATTGTGCTTGCTTGATGCTTTTTTTATTCTTTCTTTGTTAATTTAAATCATCATTTTATTATCGACTTTTACTTTTATTATTAATTAATTAATCTTATTAATTCATATTTTTTCTACATTTTTTCCTTCAAATTAACTATTTAATGATACATTTTTTCTTCAATTTTTAAAAAGTAATAATAAAATTGGTGCAATGGGTGCATCAAGCTTAGGCTTTGCTTTAGTAAGTTGCATTAATCTCTCAAATTTGGAACTTGATCTTCGGTAAAAATAGTTTATTTATTTTGAATAGTGATATTTTTAATTATAAAAACTATTAACCAATAAAGCTCTTTTTATTGTGATTGATTTTTTTTGTTCTTTCTTTGTTAATTTAACTCATCATTTTATTTTCAAGTTTTACTTTTATTATTTATTAA